TTCGGAGCGAAACTTTGTATGAATATTAGTTTTCAGCTGCTCTTATACATCATTTAAGTAAAATCTCAGGAAGATCAATAGTTTTGTAGTTCGAAGTTTAGTGACGTCATGTGAAAACCAGCTATATCATCAAACAAGCACAAACATATTCCGAAATATTAAGCAAATTAATCCGCATATAAATTGCTTGTTTTCCTGTGAAGATTAGGGGAAGTTTGCTAAGGACTTTGCGGTTATTTCGTGTTTGCTAAAAAGTTAATTGAAATGCTGTATAATACATTGTATAATCAACTCGCAACGGGCGTTTGGTGCACTTTATGGTTTGAAAGACCGCGACAAGGTAAACTAAAAAACAAAAATATTATTCAATCTGTTAAATGCACGCGTCAGTTAACATATTTAACCTTTTGATGAGGTGTACTTTAAATGTTTCGCACCGTTTATTTCGGTGTTTAAATTAAGTGAAATTATATCTGAATGAGTTTAAGTCTCCAAAACCATTTTTAGCACTGATTCCGAAAATCTGAAAGATTTTTTTTTTTCGTTCAGAGTTTTAGGGTGCGTCTCTTTGAGGTGGTCTGGATTTGGATCAATGATCCAAGATCATTATGAGCATGGTAGATCAAATTGAAGGGACGGATGAATTTCACTCTAGTCTTGGATTCATAGCGTCGTGATCCGAGTGATGTTGGATCACTGATGACCCTGATTATATTAAGATCGTTCCAAAAATTAAAAGAATCACAAGAGTTAAAGCGACACCACACTTAAAAGTACGTACTGAGGCCTTAAGTGTCATCCTGGCGCGAGGAGTTAGGCGAAGGTGAAGAAGTAAAATATTCAGATACTCGTTGCAAGAAAATTATGATGCATTAAAGATTTCCCAACAAGTCTTGCAACAATGATCAGCTGGTACCAAAAATCGAATTTTTGCCGACTACCCTACTGCTGTCTTATTTGTTTTGAAGATCGAAAGAGTGCTTTGTGCGGTCCTTGTTTGTTTTTCCTAATGTAATAAATTCGGTTCACGCAGGCTCGAAACTCGCGTTTAAACCAGACCAAAACTTAAAGCGAAATAGCTTATTCCAATATAGCACAGAAAATCTAATTCTCAACCTAGAGCAGATGATCCAAAGTCAAACACACTCAAAGGTGTCGCATCCATAACAAACTTCTCGAAAGTGATTAGTTCTTAACACACACAATTGGAGTGAAAGCATCCGTTTTCTTAGCGTTAAGTGGATTGTAGCTATTTTAGGTTGAGAACTTAATCTTTGCGTCTCTTTCGAGTTTCACTTTTTTGGTGGTTTCGGGAAACGGAGGCTTTCGAAAGCACTGACGTCAGTTACATCCCGTGCAAATCAGTGAATCATAGTTATTTTTTTTTCCTCATAACGTGTCAGCGTTTTTGAGCGTTCTGAGTGTGGACAGTGATAACCCTGCGAAGGCGGTAGTGCGGATGTAAAGTGCGAGTTTAAATCAGTGCTTCTCATAATAAACACAGCACGATCTAGAAACCTTCTTTTACTTCATATACTCGGTTATATCTTACAGCTCTATCTTACATGGCTAAGGCCATTTTGCAAAGTAAAAACTGCCATCAAACAAACCTATTATAAAACAAATAAAAGGAACAAGAATGGTTCAGGTCTGGAAAGATTGAAACGAATTACGAACAAAGGGCTTCAATCCTGAAACTCAAAATCCGACATAAATCTGGATGGAGGTGATTAAATCTCACTATCAGCTAAATTTTTGGAGATTTCTCAGCTATCGGTTAAAAGTTAAGCCCGTTTTATTTGTCAGCTGCCAGTAAATTTTGCGGATCCCAGATCTCAGCTGCCAGTTCAATAAAAACGTGTCATCTCTCAGCTGACCATTTTCATCTTTTCTCAGCTCACGACCCTCACGTCTAATTGTTATTCGTTCGCTCGCACTGCTAGGTGTCTAGTTAATGATTAACAAGGATCTAAACAACAACAATGTTGGCTGGAGAACTAAAGCGCAAACATGTATTCTCTCTTTTCTAGCGCCGAGACATGGCGGATGGGGCCGATGGCAGCCAGTTAGTTGGCAGGAAACCCAGTGCTCAAATGGATATAAAACCAGATACCGCTATTGCAACGATCCTTCCCCAGCTCACGGTGGGCATGGCTGCAGCGGAAGTAGTAGCAAGCGGATAGACTGCAATGAATGTGACTACGGCAACGGAGGATGCGAACATATATGCGTAAACTATGTTGGTAGTCACAGCTGTAGATGCTATCCTGGTTACGAGCTTTACTCGGGAAAGAGATGCAGACGTACGTGATTTCGGCTTTTTTGGGGAAGTGTTGGTTAACAACATTTAGACAGTTAAACGCGCAGTAAATGCTCCTTGATCACATTAAAATGTATTCCATCATTTAGCTACAAACAGGTGCTACATTAAGGGTGGTTCTCACCAACGCAAAACATTATTATATTTAAGCACCGTTAACTTACAGTCATTTTTGTTGACCAAAGACGCATCTTATTACACATCTTATTACGTCGCACGTGTGCTGCCGCCAGCGGTAAATTCTCCGCTACCCATTTATACATAGTGCTGACCCGGATGTTCAATCTAGATCTTGGCGCCCTTACTATTTGGCCACCGCGCCTCCTTCTACGATGCGAAAAGAAACGATCTTTTCAAATTAGTTTGCACGTTTTGAAAACAAGGCGTTGATGGTTTTGCTTACGTTTTTTAGGAATCTCTTGTCACACAAGCGATTGGCCGCCGCCAAGTAATGGACAGATATCGTCACCTTGTAACAGTAATTCACAGGTGCGCTCTGGCACTTATTGCACGGTCACTTGTAATAATGGATATAAATTAGACGGACCTTCAAGCTCTGTTTGTGGCAGCGACGGCGAGTGGGATCCAAGATCAACTCCAAACTGTCGAGGTAAAAGGAATGTTTTTGGGCAGTTTGGGCTCGGGTTCTTGACAAAAGAAAAGAAATAATTACGATGCATGGGACTAAGCAAAGACAAAGCCGCCAGAGACATTGCATTTTCAGTCACATGTGACCAAATGCTTTACTGCCTTGCGCTCTAGGTGAAATCAAATATCAGAACTAGAAAAATCATGTTTCCGGTTTGATTGCATACATGCGTCAAATTTCGTTTATGGCTTTCAAAAATGCAACGCAAACCCGAACGCTGTGATTAAAATTGACTCATCTTCCGATCAGGTGTCGATTCTATGTGCTGAACAAAACGATCGAGGCCTTTGGCGGAAGGATCTAATTAAGATTTTCATGCACGACAATTGTGTTTGACAACAGAAGTTTACAATAAGATAACTTAGTCTTAAAGGGCTGCTGATCCGCTTTGGCGAATATTCTATAAAAATTACTTACGGATGGTCCTTTTTTCAGTGTTCGAGTGTCAAGCCCTAAGTGCCCCGGACCATGGTCAGATCACTCCTGATATTTGCAAAACAAAACCTCTCCATGGTCAAGTATGTTCTTACGAATGTAGCGCAGGCTACGCACGCACTGGGCCTAGTTCGAACACGTGTAACAATGGCTTCTGGACACAAGGAGGATTTCACTGTCAGGGTAAATCTTTACATCATACGTAGAGCTTTGTTAATTGCAAAGTACTGGTTGATGCTGCATAGTTACGCATAAACAGCACCAGACGAAAGAAAATGCAGTTAGAGGGTCTGAGTGACTGAGTTATTGAGTGACAGAGCTTCTGGGCGACTAAGCGACTAAGCGACTGAGTGACTGAGTGACTGAGCGGCTGAGCGGCTGAGCGGCTGAGCGGCTGAGCGGCTGAGCGGCTGAGCGGCTGAGCGGCTGAGCGGCTGAGTGGCTGAGTGGCTGAGTGGCTGAGTGGCTGAGTGGCTGAGTGGCTGAATGGCTGAGTGGCTGAGTGACTGATCATGAGTGACTGATCATGAGTGACTGATCATGAGTGACTGATCATGAGAGACTGATCATGAGAGACTGAGTGACTGAGTGACTGAATGCCTTGCTATATCTATATGCGTCAATAGCTGCAAGTCAGGTAACATGCAATTAAATCCAATATTGTTTTTTTCTGTTTAAAGACAATGAATCACCTTCATTTGGCGAAACCTGTCCATCTGCACAAAGTGTTTTCGCGGATGAAGGAAAATCTTCAGCCACAGTGAGCTGGGGACCAGTTACAGCTACAGATAACGATCAAGCTAGCGTTACTGTGTCCCCTCAAGTGACGTCACCACACGTTTTTTCTGAGGGAAGCCATACCGTGGTCTACACTGCTACAGATCCGTCGGGAAACACGAAACTCTGTTACCTTCGAATTACTGTTCAAGGTAAGAATGTCTTGGCGTATATGAAAACAACAACAACAACAACAATTAATCAACCAATCAAGGCATGCATGCTAATAATCTAATTGTGGGAAAATGGCTCTCGTTCCTTTGAATTTATTTAAATAAATGAACGGTTTTTTCATGTGAAACATATAGTTGAAAAAAAAAAAAACGTTAAAAAGAAGAGTTAGCATTATATAATTGAGAACAGAAAAAATAATACTGCCTATCAAAAGGTATATCTTAAAATGAAGGCCATTTTAAACAGCGTGGCTCCTTCAGGTTTATCAATAATGGGACCTGGATCTAAAAAAAATAAGGAATTAAACTTCAAAAGCAAAGTATAATGCTAAAGAAATGATTGTTGTGAAGAGATCAAGTGAACGCGCGGAGAAACAATTCAGTTTTTCGTTGAATGAAATAGTCTTCTCGGAGGTGTTAGCATTCTTTGTAGAAACTACCTTTGTTACATTCTATCCGTCAGTATCAACAAATTTGATTAGGAATAAGTCGTTGTTATTTAATAACTTCTCAAACCCAATGCCCCAGGACGGTTATTTCACCTAATCATATTTCATTTTAGCTCTTCGATGTTCTGTACTGTTCGCACCTGCAAACGGCAGACTGGAGAATGCGGCCTGTGGAAATGTCTATGGAAGCTTATGCCGACTGGCATGCTACAAGGGGTATGAATTGAAAGGATCTGTTGAGAGGAAGTGCGACAAGATAGCAGGGACAAATGTGGCCCAATGGACAGGAAATACAACTTCCTGTGAAAGTAAGTATGGGCATGTTTTGTCCATTCCTTCATAATGTGTGGTAAACTAAGAAACATTCTTGACAAGATGGCTTGCATGGAACCATACTTTCTTTGAACATGCCAAAGAAGCTCTAGTTGAAATTCTTTTTTTTTTTCCTATTGTTTTGCAAAAAAAACAAAACAAAACAAAACAAAACAAAAAAACAGATTTGAAGGAGTCTTGCTCCCCCCTGGATGAGATGCTAGTCTATCGCAGCTTTCTCCTCGGCATTCAGACAGGAATTTGCCCTGTCGTGGTTTCTCTCCATCAGTACCTCTAGTGCTTTCGAACTAATCGTTTGCTATTTATGTCTTAGCTATCCACTGTCCATCTCTAAACACTCCTGATCACGCCATTCAGGCCGGGTACGGCTGCGGTGGTCCAAGCTCTAGCTACAGCACATCCTGCTATTTCAGTTGTATGTTGGGATACGAGGCTGTAGGAGGATCACAGAAAAGAACTTGTCTGGAAACTGGACAGTGGAGTGGAACCGAACTTCAGTGCCAAGGTAAGGAAATGATATCCACGTTTATGGGAAACGGGATTGCTGTTTGTCGTCGATGTAGATTAAGAAAAAAAAATCTAAACGCAGGTAAATACAGTTTCGAAAAGAGAAAAACAAAGTGTTTTTTAACCTGTGTGAAGTAAATGACCTCCTCCCTATCTTTAAGCTTCTGCGCCGGGTTTTTCAAAAGCCCAGTTAACACAAACTCAGAGTTGAAAATTAACTTAAGTATTATTTTTTTCTTGTATGTTTTTTACTTCCTTTGTTTTGTTTAGTTTGAGATTACCCCATTTCAAAACTAAAGGCCAAACGATATAAGAAGAAAACTTCACCGAAATGTTGCAAAACCATTGACATCAAAATTTAGGTCAATCCTGGGTTAGCTTAATCGGGCTTTGAACATCTCCGAACACAAGGTTAAGGCCCTAGTGTTGTCTCGGCAGGCAACTCTACTGGACAGAATTACCTATCAAGACCTATTCACAAATGTTAGTTTTTTTTTTTTTTTTTTAATAAAAATGACTTTAGATTTCTTGTCTCGTTATAAATTGTCACCAGGCTTAAAGCTTAGGTTGCGCCAAATGACGCAAGAAATGATCCATCGATAATTTTGAGTTGCCTTGCAGCGATCACCTGTCCTTCAATTACTATTACGTCGAAAGGACTGGACATCACCCCCTCATTCTGCACCAATGCAAGCGCTGTCATTCATTACGCAACAGATTGCCGATTCACCTGCAGGAGCGGATATCAACACCATGGGTCTGGGCTGAAGACTTGTAACCAGCAGAAGACCTGGTCTCCATTAGGGAATCCATGGTGCAAGGGTGAGTTGGTAACTTTAGAAAACTCAGCTTACGACATGGTAACACCTATTGTGAATCGCCATGTTTCAAATATAAATTTTTACCAAGCTAATTATGAAGCCTTTAATATTAGAGAAGTGCAATAGGACAAGTAGCGCTTAAATGAAATGTGGTTTAAATTGAAAACAGAGCAGATTAAAGAAAAATAACATTGTAGATGTTGTCGTTGTTGTTCTTAACGATGGTAACGATGATGGTAAGGGGGAATATGAGGAAGGTGACGAGGAAAAGTAGTAGTAGCAGGAGCAGCAGGAGGAGCAGGAGAAATATCAAAGAGAGGGAGGTGGGGAGAATGTGATGATAAGTCTTTTGCTGCTGTCTATGATGCTGTTTGGCTTTGTTAGTCTCTTCGTATAACAGTCGAGGTTCAACAATGACTTGTGTATAGTTTCGTCTTCTTGTTGTAAAGGATATATTCTTTTCGTTTATAGATGTCTCGGCACCAGTATTTTCAAACTGCCCATCAAATATTGTAGCCACCGCTGACAGAGGTACAACGTCGACACAGGTCACTTGGTCTCATCCTTCAGCTACAGACAACTCCGGCCTCATTCCCAACATAACACGCTATGGGAAACTACCTGGGGACTTATTTCCTGCTGGAGAACACAACATCCGGTACTTGGCTTTAGACAAAACAGGGAACGTTGCCGAATGCAAATTTAAAGTCTTCGTTTCAGGTAATTTGCATATGTCCCGCGCGGGAATATTTGTTTGCAGCATTTGCCTCATCAGAATAAGCGCTTGTGATCGAGCTCTGAAAAATATCAGCTCTGATTGAAAGAACATGCACGGATAAAATATTTTTCCCCTTCTAGTATGCATGGAGCATGACATTATGCGTGCGTAGAGTTAAAAGAGTCAAAATTTTACAACGATTATTTAGGTGCATTAAGGGCTTTTGGCACTAACATATTTCGAAGGTTTTTTCTTTTTTCTCTCTTTTTTTTTTTCATCATTTTAGTATATACCTCATAAGTGAATAGTACCTATCACATGTTCGATCTGATTGGTTAACTCGGGGATGACTAAAATTTTCCGACCGTTTGTCGGTTTTTTGCTAGAACTAAGACACTTTTTTGGTCCATTAGTTACCTCATAGCCTGTCTCTTTCCGTAAGTGCGACTGTGATCATGACACAGGCTAGTTACCTCAGTGTCCGTGAAAGTGGTTGCACACTATTCACCTCCGCTTCAGTGAATAAGTGTTATTTAGTATGAGCGCACTCAGTGATCTTGGTGTTTCAAGCAATCTGATTGGTTCGCTATCTCGGGCTAATGAGTATTATTCACTTCCTAAAGAATACCTGTTAAATATGCCATGCAAAGCACGAAATCGATTCAATGTTCATCGTTCGTCATCCTCGTTTGCTAACATCCTTTAATAGATTGAAAAATAGTACGTCCATGCACTCGGAAGAAATCACAATTTTGTACTATTGTTACCTTTTTAAGTGGTCCGCTGCCTGCCAAAGTTGTATTCTCCAGCTGGAGGTTCCTTACAGTGTACCAAAGACAATCAGTATGGATCAGAATGCTCCTTCGCTTGTCAGGATGGCCACACCATGAGTGGCTCTGACCGCAGAGTCTGCGAGAAAGATCCAGTTACGTCCGNCCCCCCCTCCCCCACACCTAGAAAAAGAAACAACAACAACGACAACGAAACTAACAAACAAACAAACATACTTAAGGTATTCAATTTTCAGATTTACCTTATTTGCTCTTCTTACAGCCTCCGCCTGAAATCAATAGACCTTCAAAGCAATAATGAAACATTTCCACGCAAGTTAATCTTTGCCTATTTATATTTCTTTTGCCAAGTAGCTTTCATTCCCAGTAAGCTGGAAGTAAAAATCGCCTTTAATTTGATGGCAGGGAAAAGGAAAGCACCATGAAAATGGTTAATAGCCTTTTGCAATTGTAGTGGAAACTTCTGCACAAGTGGTTCATATTTTCTGAATACCTTTATAGACAGAATTCTGACTGTAAAAAAAAAAAAAAAAAGTGCTTCGTCGATGTTTAAAAGTCGATCTTTCTAGCTCGTAAGTCCACCAAGTGCACAAAGTAATAAGTCACCTTAATTTATCTTTCCTTAGTGGTGAAGTGTGCTCGACTCTTCCCCCCTCCTCACAGCATACAGTCTGGCTGCGGAGGCGATTCCTTGTTCAACGTTTTTGGTGACAAATGTCTTTTATACTGCGCCCGTGGCTACCACCGGGTTAACGGCTCGACTGAGAGGGTCTGTCTAGCAAATGGCACATGGTCTGGTGAAGAACCGTACTGTCAAGGTAAGGGAAGCAGCAAAAAAGAGGAATAGTTGCGACAAGCTTTTACAAAACAAATTTACGCCGATACGCAGGAGGCGAAACTTTATTGATCCTATAAAATCGGTATTCCAAGTCTGAAAATGTGGTTAGGATTAGCACGCAACCCTTTCTTTTTTGTTCAATCTTAGCAGCTAAGAAAGAGGAGAAAAGAGAGATGAGAAGAGAGATATATGTGTGAACTATTTTAGGGTCGATTTGTTAAAAGTTTATAGTTTCAGAGAAGAAAACAAATAACTTTTTGTCCGCAAGCGTTTGATGAGGAATTCTCATGTCAGCACAAAATTCCTAAAACATTTACTGAATAAGATTTTACTTGTTTTATTTTTTTGGTACAGTTGTCCGCTGTAAGGTCCTTCTACCTCCAACGGATGGTCAGGTGACACCACACTCCTGCACGACTTCTCCTGAATACGATACTACATGCCACTTTTCTTGTCCCAAAGGCTATAGGCTGCACGGAGAACCAATAGCGACATGCCTTAGCGACGGTCAGTGGTCGAAAAACACCACTTCTGTTTGCAAAGGTTGGTTTATCTTCCAAGAAGTTAATTTTTTTTTTGTCTTCTTATTACGGCCTGGTGTGGGGCAGAAAAAAAGACCTTGAAATTGTTTTATTCCGTGAGCTTTTGGGAGGCAGCATGGCCGATTAGTCTAGGGCGACGGATTTGAAATCTGAAGGTCCCTGGTTCAATCCTCACCTTACCGTTATCTGGATTTGCTGTTCATAGTCTCGAGTTCAAGCGCTTGACCGACTTTCGTAAATAGCTAACTGGTCAGCCTCCCACCAATTGAGATTATTAATTATTTATGTTCTATTTGCAAGCTGTGTTTGTTTAGTTGCGGAGTCCTCAATTAGCACAACAGTGTTAAATACATTTTAGAATTAAATAAAATTAATCATTGATTGATTGATTGATTGATTGATTTTTATTTATTTATTTTAAAACCGACCGAGTGTTCTTCATCTGTGATATTGCTCGTTCATGCCGTTGACTTCGTTAATTATTCACTGTTAATTGATACATTTAAATACTTGCAGACGTGGAAAGACCCTCCTTTGGCGTTACTTGCCCCAGTGATATCAAACGTTACGCAGACAGGGCTAACAACTATACCACAGTAAACTGGGCACCAGTGGTTGCCACTGATAACTCTGGCGTGGTAACGAGTGTGACCGAATATGGTGTGCCAACCGTAAATAGATTCTACCAAGGACGACACCGGGTCACTTACAACGCCAGCGACGCAGCAGGGAATTACAAAGTCTGCACGTTTTTCGTGACAGTCGAGGGTAAGCCATTTGCGAACGGCACTGAAAGTGCAGATTAGGTATCCTGTAAAGCAATGGCAATTGCGTATTGTTAACAAACCTCAGCATCAAATACGAAAGGCCCTTTTAAAACAGTCTCTATAGATATAGCTGACAACTCAACAGTTGTTTAAATTGAGCGCTAATTTGCAGGTCCTGCCTCTTGTAACTTTAAAAAAAAAAGATAACTGTTTTAGGCAACGTTCATTTGCAACAAATTGGTCACATAATGGTTTGAATGCATTTTTCTGCGAAAAAAAACAAAAAAAAAACGTGTGGTTACAATTTAATATTACGTGTCAAAATTGTGCGACATATAGACATTTAATGAATATTGATTATTTTTATTACTGTGATTATTGTATGCGCTTTCTAAGTTAGCCAGTGAATACAAAATTGATGACCGTTGCTGAATAATCGTTCTAACATGTCATATTTTCCGTTCGTCTATAGTTTTACGATGCCAAACGTTGTTTCCTCCACTGAACGGCTTTGTAGAGGGAGAATGTGATAACACCTACGGCTCCACATGTAAAATGACGTGCAACGATGGGTACAACTTGCTCGGGTCTGACATTCTTACCTGCCTTAAGAAACCGGGCCATATTACAGGATACTGGGACGAACCAGTACCAGTCTGTAAAAGTAAGTGGCAAATATGTTTGTTAACCATCATGTCACGCTGCTAGTATGCACACCCATTTGGCTTTGTATTCATTTTGAGAAAGAAAAGTTATTCAAGTTTATCAGTTATATAGGCCCTGGTCAATAACGGTGCACGATAGTTGACGATATTTGATAGCATCCTAACTATTATCGACTATCATAACGTGGTGAAACGGGAAAAAAAAAAACTATCATTGACTATCAAGAAGAGTCTGAACAAGCTCAACGTAAATGATAGTTGATGATAGTCGGAGGTAGGGTGCGGGAGTAAGTAGTCAAACGAAAGCGCGCGGTACAGCTATCATCAACTATCATCGTCTTCATTACCAGTGCTTGAAAATTCAGAGTATTCCTAGTTTCTTACTATCTGAGGACGTTTCTATATATTGCAAATACTGATTTTATTCTTGGGGAAAAAGCCTCCTTAATGTGTCTATATAGAGTCTAAATATAAGGCTGCAAAAGATCTTTAAAGGGTCAAATAGTAGCGTATACTAGGCGTTTTAGGCTTAACACTTCTCCGGTATGTGAAAAGACTTGGTTCCATCTATATCATAACGTGTATATCATTAAGCTCTATAAGTCTATAACATTAACCTATTCATATAGTTTTCGTGTACATTGTTGTAATTAGAATAGAACCACTAACATGGCTATTGTTAAAAACTAAAGACACGACACGGCTATTTACATTTAGCTATTTTCTCTATTGATTTTTTTTTTTTTTCAGTACGGTCATGTTCTTCCCTAAATGCACCTCGGTATGGTTTTATTTATCCGCACATGTGTACGTCTTTCCCAGTCAGCGGAACCATCTGCTATTTCGAATGCAGACATGGTTTCCTTGGAAACGGTGGAACTACTGAGATTCTTTGTGGGAATGATGGAAAGTGGAGCAAAAATGAATCGTCAATTTTGCAATGCCTTGGTAAGGGCTTTGGAAAACACATGCCCCAAGATATGTTGTATATGCCATATAACTTAAAGTATTAATCGGGATACGATGTATAATTATCATTCTTAAATATCGTTTGTAACTGCAACTAGGTGGAGATTCATCGTATCATCTCGCCCAGGTGTAAATACATTTAGATTTTGTAACGTGTCTCTTCGGCCTCAGTAAGCTTCGTTAGAATGGTAACAACCGCCAACATGGCCAGATACACAAACAGCTTCAAGTTGTTTACAACGACAGTCTTCTCTAAAAACTAGATCATCTCAACCATTGAAATTCGGTCCAGCTCTAGACATCCTGTAGACACATATAAGTATAGTATCTATAGAAAAGAACTAGCAATGACTGTAACAGTCTTCCATCTGATTACTTATCGGACGACTCCTCCACAAAATTTGAGGCCTCTATCTCTGAACACGTTTATTTGTTGTAATTGTTTGAGCTTTCCCTATTTATTTTTGTGTTTATATTTTGTCTTGTTTAATCTTGCACTCACGTCACTATAATTGACTTTGCAAGAATCAAATGTAAATATAATTGTTTGGTTCGCTAGTACCTATTCGATTCTTGTGCAGTGTGATTATACGTATTTTGTTGTAAATGTGAAGTAGTATTATTTTAGTTATACCTGTATGGCTGTGTGGGAAGTCTATAAGAATACGTTTATCATCAGCAATACTTTATGACACTTTCCATTGGTGAAATGACCATTTATATCTAATCAAATATCTTTTTTTTTCTTTGAAATTTTGTGCAATTTCGTATGTCCATAAGAACTAGTAAAAGTTCATTGTATTATCCAGAAGCACGAATGAATGAGTGGCTTGACGTAAAAAAAAAAAAAAAAAAGTGTCGCTCTCCCAAATTTTCAGGAGTATTTCTAGAGAAAAACTCCACGGGTCGAAAATGTTCCCCCATTTATTTAAAGACAGAAATGCGGCGTTTAGCCCATCAGAGTGCATGCATTTCAACACGCGAAGATAACGCGTTAAGTGTTTAGGAAGAGCTTACGGCTCTTTGGATTTCGTTTCCCATAATATGCCTTATGTTGGTATATTCGTATAGATGTTACTGCACCAGTGTTCATGAGGTGTCCTTCAGATATTCGTGCAAACATCAATGCAAATTCTACAGCATTGGTTAACTGGACCCTACCCGTCGCGCTGGACAACAGCAATCTAGCTCCACAATTGACGGTATTTCCACCAGGGATTAGCCCCCCACAGATCTTTAACGGAACTGCTTTAGTTGTGTACACTGCTAGGGATGCAAGTGGGAACAAGAAAGAGTGCTCGTTTAGAATTATATTAGAAGGTCAGTCTTAATTAGATGTTATTAAGTGTATCGTGGATTATGTCAAATTGAGTATCCAGCCCCTGTTCAATCTTGCGAAATTACGTGGTGTCATCGTGTCCTCCTCTCTGTCTTGATAACAGGGTCTGAAATTTTAGTGCTGCAATATACTGTGTCCTCTGCCACCCACCATGCCTCGGTCCACAAGAGAAGACTCACCACCCTTTCTCCTTCTCCACGGTCATTGAGTGATTTGACATTGACAAATTTTGGCAGGTAGGACGACCTCAATCCAATAGCATATATTGACACAAGTCCTTCATTTATTTTCGTCGCAGACAATTTAGGTCCCCAGGTGGTATATTGTCCCCCAGACCAAAACATCACCGCTACGAAGACGAGAACAAGAGTAATGTGGAATGACCCTCAGTTTAAAGACAACAGCAACAGTCCATTGGTGATAACATGCAGTCATCAAAGTGGAACTGAGTTCTACTGGGGGACCTGGAATATACATTGTACAGCCTATGATAATAATCCCAACAACAAGCCTGCTGTTTGCCAGTTTTCACTAACAGTTAAACGTAAGTAGCAAGTAGATTAACTAAAGATCTTAGACCTAAACTTCAATAGTGAAAAAAAGGACAGAAACTTAAAAAAAAAACATCTTTGTAAGACTTTCCGTGAGTTGTGATACCCTCCGTGCACACATAGATACAACCCATTAGCTTAAACTAATCAAACAGGTTGGTATTAAAGTTAAACTCGACTCATACGGCTGGCAGTCTGTTTTTCTCTCGAAATTCAGCAGGGGATATGAGGTAAGACACCTTAGTCTTGTCTGTGCTTCTTCTTTTGTTCTCTACTCTTCCCTACTCGGTCACGCTTAACACTCGTCTAAGTGAACTGTAAGGAGAAAAAAGAAAAAAAAAACCGCTGCCAGCAGGCTAAACTCAACTACCTTTTTGTTTTTTTTGGTAGGGTGGTTTTGCCTCCTTCCTTTGCTCATACATGAGAAATTACGGTGATTTCTTCAGAATTCCATCAGTTCAACGATAATTGCCCATCTAACAACTATATTCCATGTTGCTGTGCGTCTGTTTTGTAATAGATCACAGTGCGGTCAAAGTGCGGTAAGTTCTTACCACATTTTGACGTCTTCTAAGATCCATTACTAAACAGACGCACGGCAACACGGAATTTGTTTATATGATATAGAGACAAACTGCTACAGACACAGCTTTTTTTTATCCCAAAATCTTTCAACATAACTCAAAAGCCGGCCTTTGCCCACTTTGGCAAACACAGAAAAAGCCCTTCGACGTAATCTATTGTCTAAACAAAATCAAGCAATCTCATTGGTTGCTATGCGCAGCAAAGAATTTTGATTGGCCCAGGAAAATCACGCCACTGTCAAACTTGACTCGAAAGTCGCTTCTCGTCGGAATGAAACTTACAGCGAAAGCTGAAGTGAACTACGAGATCTATAAATCTTAAAGAAAATGCTGAAAAAGTCAAGTCAGTTTTTCAAATCAGAGTAGCGCTGTGAGCCGAAAAGCTTGGAAATTGCCTTGATAAATGCAGGAGTTGAAAAAATACGCTTGGAAAACTTGCGGTTGCGGTCAACACTTGACGCCATTGGATTCGAGTTTTGAACGAAAATAGTGTTAAGGGTGACAGTGGAAGTTTGTATCCTCTGTGGTTGGGGATTCTCTGCGATACAGTTGGCCGTGAGCTGTAGAGCTATACTTTGTTCGCTGCTGTGCCCTGAAACGGACTGGAACATTCGCGTCGGAAAGCAAGGTTATGTGGTTACTTTAATTGACGTGTCAACAATGATTTTGAGACTGAGAATTTTTTTAATAAATTAATGTCATATTTTTTTCTTTTTTTTTTACATTGGGTCTTTTAAGCAATGGTTTCTTACCTTGACCAATTTTGTGTTTGGTTTAGTCTCGCTCGACTGCCGAGGGAGACTGCCTGAGTATTTTTTCTGCGTCATTTTTGCTAAAAAAGAAGCATTTTATATCTTCTTCCTGCCTCTCGTACCTGTCCAATGCCTCGACAAGACTTTTGTGCACCTACCTTATCTTTCACCCGGTCACGTAAAATGTTATCTAAATTCTCAAAAAATTTCCGCCATTTTAAAACAAAGAGGGAAAAACGTTTTAATGATGATGTCAATCGCGCGTATGTCCTCTAATAGGTCACCCGCGAGAACCAATCAAAATGCGAGAATAACTTGCGTTATTATATAAATTTGCATAATGTATAAGACATTGAGTTGCTTGCGACAATGTGATAAATTAAATGATTATGAAGTTTTCTTTTTTAACAAGAACCGTCACTAAGAGTATAATGAAACAATACCAAGTTATTAAAATTCGTAACTTTCTTTACATATGCAGCCACGGAGTGCAGTTACCTGCCTCCTCCCAAAGGAGGTGCAAGTGGTTGTGACGAGTGGATGTTTGGAAGGTTCTGTTCGCCTTTTTGCAACAACAAATCGGACTTTGCTCAACCTTTGCTTTCGAGTATGTGGGTTTGCGGAGCATCAGGAACTTGGATGCCAACCAATCGTTTTCCAGACTGTACAAGTGAGTAATCATTGCTTGTATTTTTAACGAGTGATAGCGTATACCTATAGAGAGAGGTAATTATAGGAGTATGGAGATTTATGCAAGTAAAAACACGTCATTTTTAACTCGTAAATTGCAATAGCACATTACTAGCTGTTGGCGGTAGGCAGATTATTTCAACTGACAGTCAAATATATATTTTGACCTATTCTCTGCTGTCAGTTATGCTCCATTCAGATTCTCTGATAATGCGCGAAAGAACCAACTTGTTTTGCTCACCATACCATTTGTAGGGGTATACCGCCCCAACGATGTCAGGATGGCAATGGATCTCCATTACTACTATGGTGACTGTTCTACACCAGAAGCCCAGGCTCAAATTAAGCAGAACTTTATCCAACTGTTGAACGAGTCTTTCTTCAAAGAGGTCTGTCAGGACCCAGCACTTAAAGACAAGTGCAAGGTAGAGAACGTGGAGGTCAGGTGCTCTGCGGTAGTTTCGGTTACCAGTAGGCGAAAGCGTTCAGCAGGTATGGCAAATTTGCAGTAAGCTCAAAATTAAGAAACGAGAAACATTCATTGTGTTTCTATTATCGAGTTACAAAAAGACAAATGGAAGTGTGTGAGAACTAGAACCGAGCCACAGGCAAGTGTTTCCACAGCCCTTTGGAGTCCTCCCAACTTTAACAATTGTTTGTATAACTCGATCGAAAAAAATAAATACTGTTCTAATTCTTTTGGAATAAAAACTGCCAGGAAAAGAGAATTCTGTTTGCTCGGGCGTTTATTACGTCAGCAGCTCGTGCTGAATATGATGTCTATCAAGTCAAAGAAGTGCAGCTCTGAACTCGCGCCTTTGTACAAAGTTTTTCCCAATATATTTTAGTGATTTGGAGTTATTCAAACCTCTGCTACCTTAAGAACCTTCGTTTATTTGGATACTCGAATCACAGACGGGCGGAAGGACGGACAGACAGACAGACAGACAGACAGACAGAGAGGAATTAGTACACCAAAGCTTCTTTTTGGTTGACCACTTCTTACATTTTCGTACACGTTCTCTCGAAAATTCAAATAAAGGTCCTATTCAAAGCTCTCCTTCTCACTGTTGTATATTAGAATTTGCACTATGGACCACTTACATGTTAAGCATAATTAGCATAACAGTACTACAAAAGCCCTGTAATTTAAATGACCAGCAGACTGTTTTTGCCCCTCTACTTTTACTTTCCAGAAAATGCAGATGGCCATAGAAGAACTCGACGATCAATTCCAAGAACCACAATTACTCTAGATATCGTTGGTAGGTTGAAAGCACACGACTCAACCTTTTCATTAAGCTTTTAAAGATCTCAGTTTAAGGTTTCAGAGCAAATGTGAAAGTTTTTTTCTTTCTTTCTTTCTTTTTTTTTTTCTCTTTTTTTTCTGTTTAACTCTTATAGTGGACCTCGAAGGCATTGAATCAAATGACACCAAAGAAGGCCAGGTTATGATTGGCGAGGAAGGCATGAAAATTTCCAAAAATATCAGCAGCCGGATAAAAGCTGCGGTTGAAAACGGCAGTTTCAGCCTCAACGTCAGTAGCACTGTGTTCGCTACTAATAGAAAGTCGATGAATATCTCAGAGCCTCAACTGTTTTGCATCAAAGGGCAAACGTTCAGAGACGGATATTGCCGTAAGTACTGTTTGGTTAGCATTTGTATACTGATTTGGTTTGCCGTTCCGGTTCAAAAGACTCATAAATGAGCAACTAAACTCGGCAATGCCATGATAAGGGCTAAATAGGACTCCTTAGAGCCTTTTTCCATGAAGTACCTAGTACGTTTTCTACTAGTTAATTAGGCTTACTGCAGCGCCATTAAAACCAGATGGTATTTGAGAGGTTCACAACAGTGAGCCGACTCATTTTCCTTCTCTCTGAGATAGAACAGTTAGAAAACACGTTAGGGCACAGCCAAGTGCGACTACAATAACTAGCGGTTGTACGAGTTCCCATAAACGGAAAAGAACATTAAAACAGTAGCTCGATCTTTAAAGAGCGAGAAAATAATCGTTTCAGTTATGTGGCAGAGTCATGCAATGGCAAAGAGTGCAAAACAAACTTACCGAGTACAACTTTTATAGTGTTCCTGGACCTTCGTTATAGCTGGTACATTCTATAACTCTAAAGACTTCTGTCAATCGAAAGGAACTATAAATATAGAATTGCTTATTAGTTTACCTGCATTGAGGTAAGTTGAATTTGCATATCTTACGTTCATAGAAACTTCCTGACTGCGTTTTTGTCTTTGTGATCTACAGTCAACTGCACACTGGGTACTTACTTAAACAGTACCACTGGAAAGTGCGAGGACTGTCCTATCGGATCATACCAAGAGCTCAGTGCGCAGGAAGAGTGTTCGATGTGTCCATCGGGCACTTCAACAACTGGCTCCAGAACAGAGAGCAGCACTAACTGCTTAGGTAACTGTCTTCTTTAGCTACCCTATCGAGACCGAGGTTTCTCTCTGAACAGTAGACTTCAACAACCCACGAGACGTTCCAAAAACTCAGTGACGTAATTCGACATAACCTGTGTCTCGGATTGACTGTGACTCGGGACTTGGCATTCCAGGATTTATCAATTACCTATCAGATGCAGTACACATGAATGCTTACTTACATATCCAACCAAAACTGTTCATTTTTCTTTCAAGTTACGACAAATTGCGAAAACGAAATTAGGCAAACTTTGTAAGGATGGTCATTCTACTCAGTTTGAACTTCGTACCTAGTGTTCCCTCTCTCCCATCTTTTTGTTGTTGTTGTTGTTGTTGTTGTTGTTGTTTTGTTTTTTTGTTTCACTGAATACTCAAGCTAATTCTCTATGATATATAGAGGCGGGGTGCCCGAATCATTCTGAACAGTTTCCAATATGGCTACCAGTTTCCAAAATGGCTACTAGTTTTTAGCGGAGGGTTTGTAAGGAACAAATTGTGCAACAATGTCACCACAGGTTGTCACTATTATCACGTTTAAGGTCAAAGTGGTCCCAATAGACTGAAGCTTGTGGCCTTTAGAATTAAGCATTAACAGCAGACTGTCTTTATTATTTCTCCTAAAGGTCTCTGCAAACCTGGTTCGTACTCCCCAACCGGCATGGAGCCTTGCTTTCTTTGTGACAAGGGTTATTATCAGGCCATAGAAGGTCAAGAGTCGTGCTTACAATGTAGTCCGAATAAGACAACTTCTGGTGAGGGATCCAACAGTTCTGTGCAATGTGGAGGTGCGTATTTAACAACTACTTTATGTGTCTGGTATTTGCTATATCAAGCGTTTCGAATTATATTTAACCCCAAAAGAGGTGTCGGTTAGCTGGGTGAATTTTGGATTAAGATGATCGGGTTCTTCCCATAACCTGCGACGTTCATTTCCTTCCGTTGTTTGCCAAGGAAGCAAGGAAGATATGGACACAATGTGTTTCTCTACAAACGAAAGTAAATACCTGTTGGCTACTAGCAAGTTGTTAGGGCAACTGGAGAAAATAATGCCAGGGAGTGGCTTTTGACCGGCTAGCAAGTATCCCCAAGCTGAGCTCCGGACTGGTTTAAGGCTTTTGTTGTGACTGGCATGGAAATTTGGGTTCTAGCACTTCCCTACAATATGGGTAGATATGGTGCCAGTGTCGGATACGATGTTATTATAATTTTTCATCAATTTAAAATACGATTCAGCGTGGTGTTGCTGTTTCCAAATTGTTTAGAACTCTCCATTCACATTCACTTTCGATCAACTATTTTCCACAGTTCCATGCCCAGCTGGATCATTTTCGCCAACTGGACTGGCTCCATGTTCTTTATGCGATCGACGCTCTTTTCAGCCGCGCAATGAGAGTCGAGTGTGTTTTTCGTGCCCAGGAACAACTATAACACTGAAACCCGGATCAAAGAATTCACAGGATTGCATAGGTTAGTAGTCTCTCCCGAAACACTGTGAGCTACCCTTTTGCCTTGCCAAAATAGCTCTCTAGAATTACTTTCAAAGAAAATATCTAAGGTAAATAAAAATTCAACTCTACAGATAGTTGATGATTTGACCTTTACGAAATAAAGTTAATTTTGTTTACTAATTACAGGTTATTAACTAAGCCACAAGGACAACAAATTGGTAAAACTACCGAAGAGGAACAAGTGTGCTTTGGATGTTGGAAGAATAATACGAATTCAAACGTTGAACAAAAAAAAAACAAAACAAAACAAAAGTAGAAAACACGCTCTGAGAGATGCAAAAAAGATTGAGAATTAATTTTATGGAGTTCTTGAAGTAACCCATGCTCATGTTGAACACGCTTCCCTAAGTATATTTCACCTACTTTATTAGCTCCGTTGCCGTTTTGTTTTGTTTTGTTTTTTTATTGTTTTGTTATTTTTGTAATTTGTGTTTGTATGTTCGCTTTCTTCACTTTTATGGATGCTTATTTGTTCCAGAGATAAACGAGTGTGATTCTAACCCTTGCTTCAACAACTCCACGTGTACCGACCTCATCGGCGATTTCCTGTGCTCCTGTCAACCTGGCTACACCGGGAAACAGTGTGACACTGATATCGACGAGTGTCAAGATCAACCATGTTTCAACAATGGCACATGCCAAGATCTGGTCAACAACTATACCTGTTCCTGTGCAAGCGGTTTCCAAGGCTTCAATTGCGAAGAGGATATTGACGAGTGTGCTTCATTGCCGTGTTCTAACAACGCCTCTTGCAAAAATCTCCCTGGTAGTTATCAGTGCCAGTGTGAGCCCGGGTACACGGGAAAGCTCTGTGATACGGACATTGATGAATGCCTGTTATCTCCATGTCAGAATGGAGCTACTTGCAGAGATAGAATAAACAGCTACGAGTGCGTCTGCCCAGCGGGTTTCCAAGGCAACGACTGCGAAGAAAATATCGATGACTGCGCGAGTGATCCTTGTCAAAACGGGGCCAACTGTCTTGATGGCATTGACAGTCACCAATGCATTTGTCCTGCAGGTTTTAATGGAACCAACTGTGAACACAATATCAACGAATGTGCCGGCGCAAACTGCAAAAACAATGCTACATGTTTGGATCAAGTCAATGGGTTTCATTGTATCTGCGCGGCCGGATTCTCCGGGTTAGCCTGTGAGTTCAACATCGATGAATGTAACTCAAACCCCTGTCAAAATCAAGCGAACTGCGTGGATATGGTAAATAGTTATCGATGTGACTGCCGGGATGGATTTGATGGACTGCACTGCGAAAACAACATAGATGACTGTGCAGCAAGTCCTTGTTCAAACAAGGGGTCGTGCCAAGACGGTGTGAACAACTTTACCTGTTTGTGCCAGCTAGGTTTCACTGGTAGAATCTGCAATGTAGACATCGACTACTGCGCCCCGACGCCTTGCTTGAACAATGGAACATGCTTTGATAGCACCACTTCCTTTACTTGCCAGTGTCCAGATGGTTTCGACGGAGATCAGTGCCAGATCAATATTAACGACTGTGAAAATGCTACTTGCTTAAACAACGGCAATTGCATTGACGGTATAAATGAGTATAGATGCTCTTGTGTCGATGGTTTTGTTGGTATCAGCTGCGAAATAAACGTGGACGACTGTGAGCAGAATCCTTGCGTGAACGATGGAACTTGCGTTGATCTGATAAATGACTACCGATGCACTTGCAAGAAGGGATACACAGGAAAGAACTGTAGCATTGACATCGATGAGTGTTCTAACACTCAATGTCGCAATAATGCTACTTGTATCGACAAAGTTGGTAATTACACTTGTTCCTGTGTTGATGGATTCAGCGGACCACATTGTGAAGTTGACATCGACGACTGCGTGGTAAATTCCTGTGGTAATGGATCCACGTGCAGAGACGGAATAAACAGCTACACTTGCGACTGCGCTCCTGGGTTTTTGGGCGACGATTGTACGCTGGAAATTGATGAGTGCGCATCTTCCCCTTGTTTCTATGGCGGGACATGTAATGATCAGGTAATGTAGCACTGATGAACAGCATGTTACTCTCATTTCCACGTCACATCAACCTGCATATAAAGATTTCCGATGCTTGGCTTCCTTTTAGCTATGGCTGCCCTGGATATTGTACTACAGTGGATTCCCGATTTCTCAAACCCTCATGTTTTACCTATGGTTTCGAACCTCCCGATAACTCAAACCAAAATTCGTTTCCCCTCCTCAATCGAACACTGCAATTTTGTCCTGATTTATCGAACTATCCGATTTTTCGAACCAATTTTCGTTTCCCTTGGAGGTTTGAAGAATCGGGATTTCATTGTATTTCTGCTTATTATTTTTTATTTTTATTTCCAATAAGCTCGTTTAACGTGGAGGCCTTATTTTTTATATATATTTTGCAGTATTGATGGTTCTTTTACAATGCATTTAGTGTAATTGAACCTATTCTGAAATGATAAACTGATCAGTCTAGTTCGCAGTCAGCTAACTTAGTGAAAGTACACAGAGTGATTGCTGACCGCTCTCCGTGGCATATATATAGTGGTTAGAGCGCCCGACCAGTATCTGAAAAAGCATGGGTTGGAATCCCGTCAGAGACGCTATTTCCTCATTGTCCCACGCTCGAGACAATACTCATTTTATCTTTCCCGACATCATTTGTATTCTGCATGTTAACGGCTTCGCTTGTGTTTCTCACCATACGGACCTCCCAGCCGACCAATAACGTATATTTCTTCATTACTTTAATAGTTTCACTTAGCTTTAAGGTGTTATGTTGAACACAGTTCAAACAGGTTCTTTAAAATGCATATAGAGTGATTAAACCTGTTCTGACATGATAGCATTTGTATTCCTATTTCCCAAGTTCAACCCTTAGAGTGCGTGGCTCGTATCCAGGTATGCATAAGTTCGAATCCCATAAAGTCTCCTAAGTTTTCGCTGTCCAAGACATTTCATCTCAATTGTCATTATTGTTATTCCACAGATTAATGGCTTCGTTTGTGTCTGCCCCGATGGATTTACAGGTTTGCAGTGCCAACAAAACGTCGATGACTGCAAATCCAATCCGTGTGAAAATAACGGCACATGCTCAGATCTGGTGTCAAATTACACCTGTCATTGTCAAGTGGGTTTCAGTGGCTATAATTGTGAAAATGCTGTTGACTACTGCAGAACAGCCAACTGCAGCCAAAATGGCGTCTGTGTCAACACTCGCACAGAATTTCACTGCAACTGTAGAAGTGGATACTTTGGGAAATACTGCGAGCTTGAAATAGACGAATGTTTGGCAAGACCTTGCTTTAACAACGCAACTTGCCATGATGCCGTCAACAATTTTACTTGCTCTTGTGCTGATGGGTATACAGGCAGGTTATGTGAGAGCAATATTGACGACTGCGTCAACAATAGCTGCTTGAACAATGCTACTTGTGTCGATCGTACTCTAGGCTACTCTTGTCGTTGCTCAGAGGGCTATAATGGAACGTACTGTCAAACAGAGATCGACGAATGTGCATCAAGCCCCTGCACTAACAACGGAACTTGCGTCGATCTGACACCGGGATACAAATGCCTTTGCCCAGACCAATTTGTTGGCGAAAACTGCGAGAACCTTACAGACTTCTGCCTTTCAACACCGTGTCAAAATGGAGGTACATGCAAGTCTGATAACTCGACAAGGAGCTTCACTTGTTCTTGCAAAACTGGCTTCACTGGAGCCACATGTGAAGAAAACATTGATGACTGTGTCTCGGGTCCTTGCATGCCAAACTCCTATTGCCAAGATCTGGAGAATGGTTACAGTTGTGAGTGCTACCCCTCTTACACTGGAGACTCCTGTGACATCTGTAAGTAGCAAAAAATATTTAATTTAATTGTTCCTCTAACCTTGTGATGCAATTATGTCAGAAATATGATGTATATTATACGTTTGTCCTGAAATGAACCTTAACTAGCACAAGGTACGGTTTGTCTGGTTCCATTTGGCTCCGCAGCCTAGACAGTCAGAATATCAATGAACTATTTTTTGTATAGTATCCGCGTAAATACCCAGAAAGAAATCGTTATTGAACATTATCCATTCTTGTATTGCAGTTCTTGGCAGTAATTACGATCTTATATTTGATCGTAAGACCACAGACGACATGGTTTTATTATCAGACGGCAAAGGCATTCCAAGCATGCGATATTTCACCATCGCTATGTTTGTGCGAGCAGATTCCAGATACAAAGCAGGCACACTGTTCAGCTACAGCGTTGCTGGACAACCAGAATCAGATGACGTCATTGTTATTTCATTTACTGAGTCTCAGATTCATCTGGAGATTAAAGATGAAGTGGTTAGAGCCGATTACAAATTAGCAGACGATCATTGGCATTACTTGGGGGTCGTGTGGAACGGAATCACCGGAAATGTTTCGCTGTACATCGACAGAGAGGAAATAAAAAAGGCGAGCAATGTCAAAATCGGAGATATTATCACAGGAGGTGGATGGATTGTACTTGGCCAGCGGTATCTCGCAGAAGAGCAGACAACATCCCTTTCGACAGCTTTTGGCGGCACGTTGCATCAAGTAAGCCTCTGGGATGTGCCAGCAACTGCTGATCACATGTGGAACGCGGCCCATAATTGCACGTGGCCCATTGCCGGAAGTGTACGAGCATGGAGCAGCTTTCTGTCAGGAATCAAAGGACAAGTAGGAAAGAGGTTCATGACGCAATGCAAAGGTATTTGCTATTGCGGTAAATTGATATTCATGTAGCTCACGCAAGTGAGCAGAAACAGATGCGGAAACAAACATGGCAGTGGCATTGATATAATTTTTTGATGACTCATGAACTATTATGTACGTCAAGAAAAGTGATATTTGAACTGAGTGTTGCCTTCAAATTAAAGAAACGTGACACCATTCAAAGGAAGCCATTGCGTTGACCTTTTTTGTGGTACTGTTTGTTTTGCTGTAGTAGATGTATCTTGGAACTTTGTTTACGATATGTAGTCTACGACAATTATGTTAAAACCTACTTAGCAGTGTTTAGCTCTGTAGCAGAACGATACTTATATAGCAGTGTAATTTTACTTTGTAAGTTTGTGCTTTGTAACACGTTTTCTCGCCTTTTTTTTTTTTTTTTTTTTTTNACAACTAACTGCTCGCACTTCCTTCACTGCGAGTCTCGCCAGGGACTTTACCACTGTAAATGCCAAGCCGGATTCTCAGGTCCTCACTGTGACATCAATATCGACGAGTGCAGATCAAACCCCTGTATTAATGGCAGGTGTGTAGATGGTGTCAACCGATATGACTGCGAGTGCAACAAAGGATACTGGGGAACCGACTGTGAGAAGGAGATCATCAACGAACAAGGTTGAGGCTCATGTTACGTGCACGGATAGTTTTTGTTATATATTGAGGAAATAAATAATACATTTTGCACAATAGTAGGGACCGCCAGGAACTTTTGCAGTTATTGACGGTGATTTCCAGTTCAGACAAAAATAAATGTTTCCGTATATTTTATTTCTTATTTCTTTGCTGCATACTGCATGAATTTTGTCAACTGTTACTTTTGCACTCTCATCCTAATTTGGAGTGAATGCTGCCTACTTTTGATGCTACATACCTTAAAGAAATATAAAGTTTTGAATGAAAGAAAAAATTAATGATAGTGGTATTACCGATCCAAGTCCAAAAAAGCCCATTTTAGACATTTTAGTTAATGCAAGCTATAACAATTGCTGTCTCTGGGTTTCAACGAGGGTTGATGTTAAAGTTTTGAAACTGGAAATAATTATGTTCTTTTTATTGATTTGAACCGTCTTAATTACTTTGCCCTTGTTGTATCATTTTTGTATTTTGTATCATTTTGCACCTCAAGAAGAAACCTGAGAGCGTTTTTTTTTTAATTTTTTTATTTCCTCATTTCTACAGAGTGTCCCGAATTTAAAGAGCCCAGTAATGGAAAGTTATCTTGTCGGAAAGTTTCTGGTAAGCTGCTCTGTATCATGTCCTGTAACGAAGGTTACTCGTTTAATTCCGAGGCGATGACTATGTATGGCTGTGGTCCTGATACAAACTGGAAATGGAATGACATGGAGGAGCTAGTACAACCAACATGCTCAAGTGAGTAAGATGGTCTGAAGTCTCTGTTAAAGGAGTGGTTGCCTTTCCCTCTCAAGAGGCGTTTGAAACTCCATCCAAAATGCTCCTCGCCGATAACTCAGACTAACGCGCGATAATTCGAAACCCAACATTACTTGTCTAGCCAGTTTACCTTCCTCTCTATTTAAAACCATCCTTGGAGTGCTATAGGTTTTTGGACGGGGCAAAACAAACACAATCCTCAACAAAATTGGCGAGGAAGGAGAAAGTCAGTAAGAGTGGCCAGCCTGACTCCCCTAGAAAATTACTCTAACAGGATCAGTGCCAGAGTCATTGGTTATCATGGTCTCAGACTGGGGCATGGCACAAAACTGCGGTTTATGTTTTTGCCCATTCGGTGAACTGTACCTAACTTTGCCACTCTTGTGCCTTCGTGCGCAGTGATGGTTTTGGCATTGATCCATACATTCGTGTTACAAACCTCAAAATCACAAAATCTACCCTGTGGCTCGGCCATAAAGTTTTAAAACTACTCCCATGGCTATTTTCATGTAAATCAACTAAACTTATTTTGTTTCAAAAAAAGGTGGATTCTGTCCCAATGAAAGGTTTATTGCGCGAAGAGACACGTTTGGCCACTTACAGTATTAGCAACAATAACTTCATTATAACCTGTACCTAAGCAACGTTGATCTATCTTTTGGACCTCTCCAACATTTCTGTCTTCTGAAACACATGTTTANTTTTTTTTTTTTTTTTTGGCCACGTACAAAATCTCCTTTAAATGGAAAGAAACCTGAAAATAATAGCTTACTAAGATAAAATATCAAAGAGATAGTAATAGACCATGAAGGAACGAGGATGGTCAAGGATAGAGAAGATTGACACGGATTGCAAACGACGGATTTGCAATATTTAAGCTAAACTTTTCAAAATGTGCAAAGCGTGACTTAGCTCCTTCAAAACAGGAATCAAATAGATTTAACAGCGAACTCTTCTCCGGAGCATTTATTTTTCGATCTTTTATTTTTGTATTTTTCTATATTACTCGTTTATTGAAAGGCAAGGCTGCCCCCAAAGAGATAGAACATCGCTTCAGGATAAAGTTTCCTGGTATGCAATGCAACATCATCCAAAGTCACGAGGAGTTGCACTCAGCAGTCGAGAAGGAAATTCAAGACACGCTAACCACTGTACAAGGATGCCATGCATGCCAACTGAAAGATGTCGCAACTCCTGGATGCGAGTCGACAGCCAGTAAAAGGAAAAGAAAAGCAGTGGATTATGCGATGGAAGTGCTTTTCTCAGTACTCGTAAAGGGAGGTACAGATTCGTCTTCGCCCGGAGATGATGTCGAAGAGATGAGCGAAGCGGTCTTGTTTCAGATGCGGTATGCTGTCGCTACAGGACAGTTTCAGATAGCTTTGAATGGAATGAACAGTACGGCAGATAGATCTTCATTACGACATCTCTTCTCCAGTATAACTTGTGCTGCTGGCTTCGTTACGAGCGAAGATCGAAAGGGATGTGGTAAGCATTGTTTCTTTTAATTTTTTGATCACAAAAATAATCTGTCCATTGTACCATAAATTATTTTCATCGGTGGACGACAGAAACTTTTTATTGAAGAGATGAAATTGTAGCTCGGTTTACTTGATCTCCTTCTTCGCGGTCAACATGGAAAATGTGGGCCGCATAAGGAACCAATTACAAATTTTCTTTTTATAATCTTCCAGTTTATCGGACTAAGTGCGCGCCGAAAATAAAGCGTCCCTTAATAACAAAAATAAGCCGAAATTGGGAGAAATAAGCCGAACATTAGGAAAGACCTGCAATGGACTTGCAATTCATTTAGAAAACAGAATGGCTCTTGCACCTCGCTTATGCTCTAGCCTCTTATTATGTCAACGCGTACTTTGACTTCCATTAGTGGCTTGCCCAGTTGGAACATGGCACGATCAAAAGAGTTTCAAGTGCATCCTGTGTGATAAAGGTTCTTACCAAGACAAGGAAGGACAGACCAGCTGTGCAGAATGTGGTGAAGGAAAGTCGACCGATAGCTTGGGAGCCGCGTCCAGTGAGGACTGTGTCGAGGGTTAGTACATGCACATATCGTAACCATCTTATAGCAGAAAGTGTCCGGAAAGAAAAAAAATTGTTTAAGATCATTCTTCAACCATAAGAGGTAAATCATGGTAAATGGTCACGGCAAATCCCAGTGGCCATCGTTACACAGACAAAGTTGAAAATGTTGGTCATTTTTCTCCAAGGCGTGATTTCCATGAGGTCAACATCATCATCAATTTTGTTTGCCTTTGGAAGAAGCGTTTGTCTTTTAGAGTAACCTAGACAGGGCCAGTGACACTGAGTGGATATATAGTGGTCAAATAGTGGATGCCACCTCCATTGTTAGTATGGTTTTAAGGTGGCTCGAAAAAGGTTCATGGCGCGCGCAGACTGGGTTCTAATAGCGCGCGCGAGTTATAAAAACCCACGAAAGCCCACAAAGCAATGCAAACAATATGGCGTTTGTAGTGTATTTTCGATTCGGTTTTGAGCGCCGCTTTAAAGCTCATGAGCAAATGTTCTTTTTTTAATAATTTGCTTCCATCTATCAGGAATTTCTCCTTCTTGGCTACTTCCTCGCTTCAGCGTTGTGTTTGCGTCATTTCCACTCGCAGGGACTGAGAAAATTCTCATAACAACGATCGTAGCTTTCCCCGTAGAGTCCCACACGGATTACGCGGCCAGCAGGAGTTGTTTATTCATTTGTTTTGGGCAGCTTTCATACAGAATGTGTTGGAAAGGAAATGCCCAGTGAAAGTAAAAAAAAGGAGATAGCTGGAAAAACACCTAAAACGCAATTCTCAAAGTTACGTTACTCAAATGTGATATGGCGAAAAGAAAACCTCCTTTCATGAGGACAAGGAGAGAAAGACACAGCACTAGCGAAGAATTAAGCGAGGCGTTTCGGTGAGATAAGCTTAAGACTATATTGCTTTGTTTGCTTTTAAATTTGCAACGAACTGGTAAATTAACCGGACGTGCGAGGTTTGAAATTGAATGAAAGTATTACAAGGGCTTGTTTATACAAATAAAACGAAGATGTAAACACCATAGCTGTAGTGATGATCTAAGCAACTGCAACTTAGGCGTGGAAAAAACGTTTCTGGACATAAGTATCCACGAATAACAAACAACATTAGTCAAGGGAACATTTCTTGTATTAGAGAGATATTGATGCGCGTTTATGCAAACTTTACCCGCCTGATTTTGTCACTTTTCTTCCAATCCATAAAAAGATTGAACTTTCCTGTTCACAAAAAACAAATACTTCGCACGAACAGCTGGAAGTTGACGTCGTGTCATTCCCTTAAGCGGGCTTCACACGGCAAACTAAAGTTAACAAACTTGTGTTGGCAGACTCAAGTTGGTGTGTGTGAACGACACAAATACAGTCGGCAAACACGTTGGCAAACTGTTAGCGACAAATAGAACTTGCCTCCTCTATTCTCGCCAACTTTTTCACCAACATTTTCGTGTTGGTAAACTCGTATCTGACGTGTGAACGATTGGCAAACACGTGTCGTTAACTGTCAACCAATTAAACTGCGCGCTCTATTCACGTGATTTATTTACGTGACACTTCACAAAATGGGGGACGCAATTCAAGATGAACATGAGGCCACTTTCAAATTTATCGAAGAGGTTCACAATTGTCCGGCTGTGTGGGTCGTTTCATCTGTAGTCTACAAACATACTGAAAACAAACAAAAGAAAATGGAGGAGCTAGCCGACAAACTGGGCTTCGTCCAAACCTTTCTATTTCTCCACTGCTTTCTGTTTCTTCTCTTCTCTCCTTCTGTTTCACTGTTCTACGTGAGTGCCACTGCATTAAGTCGGCCATGTTGCAAATTACCGTGTGTTGTGATTTGACGCGAGTTTGAGTGTGAAGGTACGAGTTTGCCAACTTTTTGAAGTTTGCCAACACGAGTTTTCCCATTTAAGTTTGCCGTGTGAAGGCCGCTTTACTTTACGGATTGTTCCGCGTTCGTGGACTCGATTGAGCGCATGAAAAATACGGATCTTGCCGATTCAAATTTTTTTCTCATTTTCAAATTCGTGGGTCTATATCTCCGCTTCTAGTGGGCAACTTTTTGTTTTAATTTCTGGCGACGACTAAGAGCAATTGGCTACGTATTAGTACCGATTTTGAAAAAAATCCTGTAGGAAGGAAAAAAAAAAAAAAAGAAACCAATAGTCTAAAAGTAGTTTTTTTCTTTCATTTGCTCGGCAGATTTTTTTAAAAATAAATTTTGAAGATCATTCCTGAAAGGCATCTAATATTGGAGTGTGAGAAGATTTGGCGGACCCATTTTCTAAACAAGACAATAGACTCCAATTTTTAGTGCACAACTGAATGCGTCACATGGTTGTCATGGTAACAGGTTGGGGAATATTATAATGAAATGAGTCTATGATGTCTCTTTCATTTCTGTGGTAAATTTCATGCTGATACGATGAACCAAACTCTATTTAGAAGAGAATTGGTAAAACTTGTTTAGGGAAATGAAAACTGTCTAGCCACCTTAAGCTGGCACCTTTATAGTTATGGAGAATGACTGCGGCATAAAGAACTCTTTTTTTTTTTTTTTAGTTGAGCCAACAGTTCCGTCAGAAGAAAAGGATATCATTGGCTACATCGTAGGACCTTTGGTGGCAGGGGTTCTCGTTATAGCCATCGCCATTGTCGGCTGCTGGTATGTATACCAAAGCTTATGAAAGTTTTGAATGGTGGTTTATGATGCTTTCTTTTGGAAATGGTAATACTCTCAATTAGCCTTTAAAGAGCATTCTGCTTGTTATCGTTTACCATGTGGTTCACCTTCAAGAGAAGACGCGGCAAAGGAAGCAGCAAAGTGAATATGAATATTTTTGATGGACGAACACAAGGGCTAGAACGCGGCGTGGGACCATTTTCTGTTCCAATAACTGGGTTGGGGTTATGTTTTAGTAGCAGGCGTAAAGGTGGGGGGGGATTCTACTAGCCATTGTGGAATTTATTACAATCTTTAGCACAGCTCGATCACTCAGATCAGTTAAGCCGCACTACATCAATTCACACGCCTCCAAGGTGGTATACTTTAAAACATACGAGAAAGGCCTTACTTAATATTGAACAAGTAATTGGAAAGACAGAAAAACCTACATCACACCTTTTACAACATTTTCTTTGTCGCCTTGAATTTAAACGTCGATTTTTTTTTTTCTTATAGGTTTCACCGCTCTCGTCGCTTTGATAAGCCAGTCTTGCAAAAGAAGTCATGCCTTTTTAAGGGTGGTCATAAAAACCTAGGTCTCGATGAAGATAATCTCGATTTGAAAAAGAGAGATTCTGATTCATTGGAGGAAGACGTGCAAAGTAGCGACGGTAAAGAACCAGTGTATTGCGAAATACCAGAACAGAAGGAGACTGTTTACATTAACTCTAATGTTGTTGCTGCTGACAGTAAGAGTCTTTACCAAGAGCTAAATATTGCAAATAGGACATCGAACACTATCTATGGGAAGATTATCAGTTCAAGTCGACCCTACGAAGTTAACCTCGCTGAGTCTCAGGTATAAGTCCCTCTTCCCAGTATCCGTAAGGCGTGTTCTCACCACTTGGTCAGGAGACCACAAACGCAGAGCGTATTTATAACTTGCGCCATTTTTAGAAACTCTTTTTCTTTCTTTTTTGCCTCGGACATTAAGTGCTACATTTAATAGTCTCGCTCAGGTAAACTGAGAAACCCATTTTGGTCACAAATTTGCACATTCGTTTGGAAATACTGAATGAAAGATCAAAGAGAGTTGCAGTTCTCGAGGTTTGGGTAACGTTCGTATCAGCCGGAAAGTCACTCAGATGAAGATTATATATTAGTGTAGTCAAATCATTTCGAAGAAGGAAATCTGATTTAGCTAATGAATTGTAGCAGATTTATTAACTTTTTAAAGAGTAATGTTTATCACTTTTGAATGAAAATTAGCAATATGAAAAGTGAACGACGTTTCGATGAATCCATGTCATAATTATCAAGTTCAAAATACATGAAACAATTGCATAAATATAAACAGTAAAAATGGTGTCAAAATGTTTAGGGAATAAAAAGTGTGTTAAAGTATTTAATTGTCGTGTAAAGAGTTTTTATCAATAATGTCTATTAAAAAAGCATATATTATAAGGTGTGTAAGGCAGACATTTCTGGTATAAGCCATGCATATTTGCCATGTACTGCTGTAACGATTTTGTCCAAGAAATGCCATTGACAAGAGCGAGAGGAGTCTTATTGTATTATATTCTGAAATAAAGATAAATAACGCGTTATCTAAATGTCAATTATAATTTAGTCACTCCTCACAACCGTGGAAGTTACACTTTGTATAATAGTAGATGATTTAAGAAACTGTTATGTTACTAATTACTGTCATGTTCGCACGGACGTGCGGTGCACACGTGCGTACCTCCGGAAATTCAGGAAAAAAAACTATTATACGGTGTAGTTATACATTTATTGGTGAAAAGCGTCTTTAATAATGAAATCTGCTGGTTTGACAGTTTCTAGTGTCACTTAATACACCTCATCAAGCATCCCAAAAGGTTGACATATGGAATGTACATCTGTTTAACAAATAGATTCCATGTTGCCGTGCGTCTGTTCAGTAATAGATCGCAGATGACGTCAAAGTGTGGTAAGAACAAAAAAAGTGGCACACGAGGCGAAAGCCGAGTGTGTCACTGATGTTCTTACCACATTTTGACGTATTCTATGATCTATCGATGAACAGACGCACGGCAACATGGAATCTGTTTGTTTTATATCATAAAGAAACAAACTACTGCAGATTACGCTCTTTTTATTTCAGAATATTTCACCATAAATCAAACGCCGGCCTTTGCCCACTTTGGCGAACACGAACAAAAAGCCATTTGACGTAATCTGTTGTCTATACAAAATACAGCAATCTCATTGGCTGCTATGCGTAGCAAAGAATTGTGATTGGTCCTGTGAAACTCGAGTCGAAAATCGCTTCTCGTGGACTGAAAACTTACAGCGAAAGCAGAATCGAACTGCGAAATCTGCAAACGTCAAATAAAATGCTGAAAAGTCAAGTCACTTTTTGTCATCAGAGAAGCACTGTGAGCCGAAAAGCTTGGATGTTGTCTTGAATATTGCAGGAGTTGAGAAAATACGCTCGGAAAACTTGCGGTTGCGTTGAACACTGGAGGCTATTCGATTCGAATTTTGAATGAGAGCAACGTTAGTGACGGTGAAAATTTGTGTCCTCTGTTGTTGGTGATTCTCAAATCAGTTTGATGTAGTGTGGGAGACACCTTATAGCTGCGATACAGTTGGCCGTGACCTGTAGTGAGCTCTACTTTTCTTGCTACTGTGCACGGAAACGGACTGGAACATTCGCGTGGAAGACAAGGATAAACTTAGATTATGTTTTGATGTTTAATTTAATTCTGGAATCAAACTGTATCGAAAATCATTTTGAGACTGAGAAAAGTTGATTTTTTTTTTCAAATAAATTAATGGTATAGACATTTTGCATATTGGTTTTGTTAAATTCGAGACAAATCAGTGGTTTCTTACTTAAGCTTTAAAGCAATTTTAAGACCAATTTTGTGTTTGGTTTAGTCTCGCTCGATGTCGACTGAGAGTATTGGAGTATTTTGTCTGAGTCATTTTCTAGCAAAGAAACAGCTTTTCCTTACTTCTTCCAGACTCTCGTACCTGCTCAATGCCTCGGTAAGACTTTTTTTACCTTACCTTTCCCCAGTCACGTAAAATAGTAGCTAAATTTGCAAAACTTTCCGCCATTTTAAACACACAAGGAAAAACTTTGAAATGATGACGCCATTCGTGCGTCTGTCCTCTAATAGATCATAGGCGAGAACCAATCAAAATGCAAAAATAACTTGGGTTATTATATAATACTTATTACTCAACGTTTTCCCATGGTTTAATATATTTTAAATAGTTCCTAGAAAACGCGCGTAATGGCCTTTTCCAAGCATTCCATAAACATTTCCTGGGGAGGGCGTGGGGGAGAGGGGTGGGGGTATTCCCTCAATCCTCGCTAGCAGTTCGTGCCTTCGTCCACGATTAACGTTTTCTTCGGTAACTACCGTTTGTAGTCGCCTCAGGGGGTTACAGGCTGTAGGTTCATGACGGAAACCCTTAAAAAAATCTCAAGTGAAAAAAAAAAAGAAATTGAGCTCCGAGGTTTTATGTTTTCAGCGCGCGACTCCTGTAACGCCAGTGAGAAATGAGTGTCTAGAGCTAAAAGCGGGGAAACAAATACCCAATAAACTAATTATGACGTTATTTGTCTGGCATGAGTGACAAGTCAAGGATATTTAAACTCTGTAAAAAGAGATATTTGCGTCCCATCCTTAAAACATTGAAAAGGTGCTGCATTTTTGATGGCTGTTGTTTGCCGTATAACTCATGCTGTTGCCTGCGACGCCATATTGAAACTTTGGAAACCGGGTAGTCTTGAGCACCAATTTATTCAAAGTGGGATTGTTTGAGTCTGCGGGGATTAGTGACGAGATTTGGCGAAAAAAATAATTAGAAACACCTACTCTCGCAGAAACACGAGCCGTTCGACTCTTCAAAGCAACCGAATGTTTCGAGGATGTTTTTTGTTCTCTTGCATTCGCTCAACCATAAAGTACTTATCACTTGTCGAACAAGGGAGGTTCTGAGAACGATACCGCAATGAGAAGAAAAGCAAGGGAGAGTACAAGTTAAGGAGTGCTGCCATCGTTAGCTTTACAGGAAAGGGAGGTAGACAGAAGCATAATTAGACGTCTCTTTAGGAATATTTTCAATTTGTTAACATCGCTTACTTCATATTTGCGACTAGAAACACCCTAAGTCGTCTCGCTATTTCTAGTGCGAAGAATGTTCACCTTGTCAGAGAAACTGCATTGTTGTTACGTATTTCAACTTTGCATATCATTATGAGTGTTGTCAATAGGAAATTTTCGGACATTCCAACCGAAATTTTTCTTCGAACAGAAAGCGCCCAGGGTACGACTAATTCGGAAATCGTTAACTGACGTAAGGCTTAGAACTTGGAAATAAAGAAAAACAACAACAACAACAACAGCAAAAATGAACTTAAAACAATAACCAAGGATATCACTATACACTAACATTGCCCAGGGCTTTTTCTTTTCTTTTAAAACACATGGTAGTATTTTTTGTCTGTTCCCTTGGTCTGGTACATCGGTGAGGAGACTGGGCTTTACAAAGGCCGCCTATTATTATCCTTTCTTTTATGGCTAGCTCCGTGGGCGGGCAAGATGAATCAAATCCTGCGCTATGATTGGCTACCCGAGCGGGCAAGATGGAGCTATCTTGCCCGCTCGGGACTACCCGCCGTGTCCCGCAAGAAACATTTCCCCGAAAGCCATATAATATATCCTTTATTGACCATGCTTGTTCGGTCAATATTGCTGGATATTGGCCTCGTTCTTTTTTTCCGTGTTTTGTGGACCGAGACGGAGTCGAGGTTCATAAACTCGGCCAATATCCAGTCATCTATAAACTTGGCCAATATCTATAAACTTGGTCAATATCCAGTCATCTTGACCTCACACTTGGTGAATAACCCATATATCGCCGTTCAATAGTAAAGTTGTACTGACCCGACGTGGGAATCTAAAATCTAGAACATAAAAAAGTATACCTTCCTTCCCTGTTTCTAGAGGGCAGAAAAAATATCCATAACTTGTCCTCTAAACCAGCAAATTAGGTGAGAATAAGTTAAGTATGTATTGGAATCTCTGCTCTCGAGACGCCAGTTTTATGTAACGGTTTTTTGAAATTTATTTCAAGGGTTTCAGTCATCATATATACTCTTGTTCTTAGGCCATCGTAGCTTGTTTTAGAATATACTACAAACAGCGGTGATGGATATTGTCTTCCAACGCATTTTATTACTAAAGGTGACGTTTTGTATGCTAGTGAAGGTTACAAATTGTTGAAAACTATTTATATTGTAAATAATAGAGGTCTGGAACCTAGACTGGGAAAAATGATCCGCAGCAGGTTAAATTACCGCCGATTCTAAAAATGTTGCAAGCTGTAAACACGCCCCAGGTTATGGTCTCCTTTCCAAAAGTTTGGTTATCTAGCAAATCAACACAATTTATCAGTAATTTAAAGGTTTTCTACTTAGAAAAGTGAAAACGATTTAATTACACGAATAATCCAACTGTTTATCACGATCTACATGGCTTAATTCCTACTTATATCAAAAAACAGACCTCGAGCATTACCAGTCACTCTGATCTTTCAGTCTCTAATTTCAAACGAATACGTTAAAACTAAGCTGAGTGCACTATTTAACGATACTATTTAACGTGAAAGGTAACAAAAAAAAAATGTTTCTAAAAAATAACGCAAGCAGTTAACACGTTTTTGGTTATGGTCTCCTGACGACAAGTTTCGGTTACTGAGCAAATCACCTTATACCTTTGATTGGGCGAAAAGGTTTTTGTCTGTCGGATATAATTTATTATCTTTTGCTTTGATAGCGGTCGATGTCACATCAGCATTATTAAGTTTGTCACCAGCAAGAGCATTAACGTTTGTGAAATTGTTCAGCCTCTTCTTTGGCATATCCGAATGCACTGATCGTTTAAGGTCGCCGCTCTCTGTGTTCTTCAGTTGGGAAGCTTCTCTGTTTACCATTGGGAGATGATATCTATCCAGGCTTGAGTCGCTTTGACCAACCTTGTTGTTTGCAAAGCAACAAGAACGGTGGTACCTGCATGTGTGTAGAAAAAAAAAAAAAAAGTGATCAATCACTATGTATGCACACGGATAAACAAAGGTGTTACCTGAGAGTGATATGCGTTTGTTAGTCTCTCTGATGATTTTGCTCATTCTAAAGGCTAGCCACATGTGTTTTCTTCCTGGATGGATACCAAACGCTGTACTATGGCGAAGCTGGTTTGAATGGTAGAGCTCTGCTGAAGATTGTAACTCGTTCCGTAAAGACAATTGTAGCAGATCTAGCGAATTCCAGTCCTTTTCCATTCCCATCCATTGCAACGACTACTTCCCCCCCCCCCCCCCCCCTCCCCCCGCGCCCCTCCCTCTTCCGATTGTGGAACGAGGCAAGGTCCGCCTGCTCTCGCCTCTTCTTTTTATATTTTGTGTTCGAACAAAGAAGGACTTCTATTCACTTTGAGTCGCTCCTCTCTACGTCCTTTTCTGAAGGTGAAGCTTGCGGGATTTGGTTATTACAAAGGGGGTATGGTTAGTGTAATGTTTTGTCGCTAACACACAATATTGTCAATTTCGATGAAGTAAATTCTTCTTTATTCATAATTTTATGAAGATTTATACATACCTGCAGTAAACAACAAAAATGCCTATCATTATTGCAATCACTGCGACCAAAGATACTGCAATATAGACAGTGATATCCTTTCCTTCTGACGGGACTTTGTCGGACAAAACACCTGTTGGTGAAACAAAAAAAAAAAAAAAAAAAAAATTCGTCATACCTAAGCCATTGCTCGTAATCTTAACGGAGCTACGTCATGGAAATCACTTCTACTTATTGTTTAACTTATAGTTTATCTTTCTCGGTTGCCACCACGCATTCATTCGGCTTATCATGATTTCTCTGGGGTTTCTTTGTTTTAAATTCCTGTAAATCACGAAGATGACCAAAAACATCGCGTCAAAGCTCCTTTAAACGGACCAAGTCACAGATCTTTCAGGAGGCACTTTGATAAATATTTTTCAATCCTCCTAAATGTTAGCCCTTTTTTTCCGTTTTTGCCTCTATTCAGCTCTTGATTTTTAAGACCTTTCCTTTCCATTCCTTTTTTTCTCAACACGTTCTGCTATATATCATGGTTGCGATATGTACAAGCACTAACCTTTGACACATTCCTCACTGGAAGCGGCTCCCAAGCTATCGGTCGTCTTCCCTTCATTGCATTCTATACAACTGGTCTGTCCTTCATTGTCTTGGTAAGAACCTTTACCACACAGTGCACACCTCAAACTCTTTGGATCGTACGATGTTCCAACGGGACAAGCCACTGACGTATGACAAAATAAGTGTTAATATACAGCACAAACGAGGTCCAAGAGTAGTGCCTTTCCCTCCCTCCCTGACGCCCACCCCGACGCCCAACTTCGGGATAATTTCCAGGTGCGTCTACCATATATCCTTATACCGATAAACTGGATGGTAACGGACGTTAATAAATTGACTTTTCAGACCTCGTTGACAACAATAGAAGTTGCGGCAAACTAAGTAAATTGTCAACAGAATGATTTTATATGATTCTATAGTATTTATTATTATGCTGTAAATATTTATTTGTCAACTTCAACATTTATTTATTAATTCTTGTAAACTAGTTATTAGCTTTCGACTTTAGTTAGATGTCCGCAATTAACTAATCTATAGCTAAATACACTGACACGTTACTAAAGTTTTCATTCATTCATTCAATCATGACAAGCGGTCCATATCTTTAATATTGACCGCACAGATGGACGCTTTTGAAATAGTTTTACCGATTTGCTTTTTGAAACTCTGCGTTAAGGGAAGTGACTGTTTGGAGAGTGCTTAGCAGTGTCGGGTCTTTGAATCTGGGGCTGAAAATCCAAGTAAACCGAGTTTTTAATTTCATCGTTACAATGAAATCTCTTCCTCTCCAACTGCTGAAAATAATCAGTCGTACGATTGCTCTAGCATAATCGGAATCGAAATTTTAAATTAGACAATGCCTACCACATCCCTTTCGATCGCCACTCATAAGGAATCCAGCAGCACAAGTGACATTGGTGAAGAGATGCTGCAATGACGATTTATTCGCCGTACTCTTCATTCCACTCAAACTTATCTGAAATTGTCCTGTGGCAACAGCGTATTGCATCTGAAATAAGACTGCTTCACTCTTCTCTTCGACATCATCTCCTGACGAGTTTACGACCAGCGAGAAGAGAACTTTCAACGGAAGATCCACTGCTGTTCTCTTCCTTTCATCGGCTGACGCCTCGCATTCGGGAGTTTCCACGTCTTTCAGTTTCCATCCTTGCACTGTGGAAAGCGTGGCTTGTATTTCCCTCTCCACTGCTGAATGCAGCTTTTCGCGACTTTGGATGATGTTGCATTGCATACCTGGAAATTTAATCGAGAAGCGATGTTCTATCTCCTCAGGGGCAACCTTGCCTGTAAGGAAGAGAAAAGAAGAGTAACATAAGAATCAAATACTCCGAGGAGTGAATTGCTTAGAGAATGGAATCCATTAGGTTGGTTAGATCCAAAAAATGACACACTTTCAGTGCGTCGCCTACCGAGTAAAAACAATAGGCTTGTCATTTATTATATGAAAACAATTTAATTAATGGTGCGGTCAAGGTTTCTAACATTGAGAAGATAATGAGACATAAGAGACAAAGTTCTTACTGCTAATATCATAAGTAATCAAACTTATATATTGGCCCAATTGACAAGCCATTCATTCGATATATAGGAAGCCAGTCTTAATCCGGCAAAATGAATTCATTTGATTTACAGGAAAACAATCATGCCATGTCAAGAGTTTTGCCCCATGGCCACGGCTCGTTTTGAACTTTCTCGGAGAATAAGGCTTAATTGTACGAATTCGATGCTTTTGTCGCAATATTTTCATGGAACTTTTTTTTTTCGCAATATTTTTTTTTTATCAACAAGTAGTATACATGTAAGTATAGCGATCAATGGCAAAAAACAACAGAGTGTAAGAAGGCACGAAATGCACCCCCTCCGGTTGCGCATAGAAGCACTATTCTGAGGATGGTTTTAAAATACAGGCGAAAGTAAACTGGCGAGAGGCTTGTTTATTGTTCGGCTTTCAAGTAAAGAATATTTCTTACAAGTAAAGAATATTTCTGGCACAACCTGGACACCTTTTGAGCGGGAAAGGAAACTATCCTTTTCACTGCGAATTTAGAACTTCCTACATACTTGAACACTTTGGTAATACTAGCTCTTCCATGTCATTCCATTGCCAGTTTGTATCAGGACCACATCCATACACAGTCACCGCCTCGGCATTGAACGAGTAGCCTTCGTCGCAGGACAAGGTACACAGCAGTTTACCAGAAACCTTTCGACAAGATATATCTCCATTCCTGGGCTTATTTAATTCGGGACACTCTGTTGAGGTGAAAAAAATTATAAACACCGACGTCAGCTTTTTTCAGTCTTGATGTGCAATATGTAACAGAGAACATTTAACACATAAAAGAACATATTTTCAGTTTCCAGGCAAATTCCGAAACCGAAGGTATTACAACAGCTGTGTTAGCTTACATCACTTTAAAGTCTAAATTAGGACTATATGCTTAGTTAGGCTTTTTTTTTGGTTTGACACAATAATGTCATGGTATCGAAAACATATTCTGGTCGCCAATATAGAGTATTGATCTCAAGAACTGAGTTGTGCAATACCACCAAACATTTCTAGACGCTCTTACGGTCCCTAATGTTGTGTTAATTGTGTTGCTATTTTCGTAACATATACAAAACAAAAAACGCAATTCGCGGTATTCTTCTTATTAGTGTTATAGTGAATTAATGCTCAAAAACTTATAGCTTTATGACCCTTCAACCTTTTTCGTTGATGATCTCCTTCTCACAGTTGGTTCCCCAATAACCTTTGTTGCACTCGCAGTCATATCGGTTGACACCATCTACACACTTCCCATTAATACAGGGATTTGAGCTGCACTCGTCGATATTGATGTCACAGTGAGGACCTGAGAATCCGGCTTGGCATTTGCATTGATAAAGTCCCTGGCGAGACTCGCAGTGAAGGAAGTGCGAGCAGTTAGTTGTGCACATGTCCAAAGCTGCAGCTTTAAAAAAGGAAAGAGGCTTGTTACAAAGTACAAAATTGGAAAACAATCTCATTATTATAATGATAAAGTTTTGCGACATTTTAAAAAGCGGTCAGTACCAGAGCAAATCACTGTGAAATGACTTCCGATCAGATCAGCAGCTTTCTTTTACTAAAAAGTTAAAGCCGTCTTGCGGAGAGTGTTTGCTGAGTAGCCGTCATTTTAAGTTTCGCGCACGGGGTTTTATCTTCGGGCTGGAAGTTGAAATTGCCTTGTACAGCATAATGAAGAGATTTATCAAGGAAAAGCTTCTCAGTGGCGATGGTTATTTGCACGGCAAAACAAACCGTGCAACATGAAACTTCTATGCAGTGACTTTATTGAATTTTGATTAAGTTTCTATCAAGCAGACTGTCGTAATTAATTTTTTCTGCATATTTGGAATTCCTTTAATTCTGATGAACTTGCGTTAAAATCATCAGTCCTCAAGTAGACGTTACAATTCCTTGACTTAGCAAATACCTTTGCATTGCGTCATGAATCTCTTTTCCACTTGTCCTTTGATTCCTGGCAGAAAGCTGCTCCATGATCGCACATTTCCCGGAATGGGCCAAGTGCAGTTCTGGGCCGCGTTCCACATGTGGTTGGCAGTTGCTGGAATATCCCAAACGCTCACTTGATGTAACGTGCCACGGAATGCTGTCGAAAGGGATGTCGTCTGTTCTTCTGCGAGATAACGCTGACCGAGGACAATCCATCCACCTCCTGTGATAGTTTCTCCGATTTTGACATTACTCACTTTCTCTATTTCCTCTCTGTCAATGTACACGGAAACATTTCCAGTGAGGCCGTTCCACACAACCCCCAAATAATGCCAGTGATCATCTGCTAACTTGTAATTGGCTCTAACTACTTCATCTTTAATCTCCAGATGAACTTGAGACTCAGTAAAGGAGAGTACAATGATGTCATCTGAGTCTGGTTGCCCAGCAACGCTATAGCTAAACAGTGTGCCTGACTTGTATGTAGAATTTGCTCGCACAAACATAGCGATGGTGAAATATCTCATGTTTGGAATACTTTTGCCGTCTGATAGTAACACCATGTCGTCTGCGGTCTTGCGTTTAAAGATAAGATCGAAATTGCTGCCAAGAACTGGAACACAATAATCAATATCGATAAAACGGTTATTTCTCTCTGGGTTGCTAACTACATGGAAACTGTGGGAAAATTACTTCCTTGGCCTTCCGAAAATCTAAGGTGCACTGCTAAATGGAGTCATATATGTACGAATTACACATTGTAACAGTTTGTTTTCACCAGAAACGCATAATATACGGCATAGGATATTGCTAATATAATTGCATCCCTACGCTTTATAAGCGGATCAAACAATTGCATTAAAAAAATACTTTGCTACTTACATATGTTGCAGGAGTCTCCAGAGTATGAAGGGTAGCACTCACAACTGTAATCATTCTCCAGATCCTGGCAATAAGAGTTTAGCATGCAAGGACCCGAGACACAGTCATCAATGTTTTCTTCACATGTGGCTCCAGTGAAGCCAGGTTTGCACGAACAAGTGAAGCTCCATGTAGAGTTATCAGAGTTGCACGTTCCTCCATTTTGGCAAGGTGTTGACAGGCAGAAGTCTTTAGGGTTTTCGCAGTCTACACCAATAAACTGATCTGGGCAACTGCATTTATATCCCGGTGTCAGATCGACGCAAGATCCATTGTTATCGCAGGGGTTTGATGCACATTCGTCGATCTCCATTTCACAGTATGTTCCATTGTAGCCTTCCGAGCACCGACAGGAGTAACCTAGAGTATGGTCGACGCAAGTAGCATTGTTCTGGCAGCTATTATTAACACAGTCGTCAATATTGTTCTCGCATAACCTGCCTGTATACCCGTCAGCGCAGGAGCAAGTAAAATTATTGACGGCATCATGGCAAGTTGCGTTGTTGAAACAAGGCCTTGCCGAACACTCGTCTATTTCAAGCTCGCAGTATTTACCGAAGTATCCACTTCTGCAGTTGCAGTGAAAATCAGTGCGAGAGTTAACACAGATGCCATGCTGGCTGCAGTTGGCTGTTCTGCAGTAGTCAATACGGTTTTCACAGTTATAGCCGTTGAAACCCAGCTGACAAGAACAGGTGTAATTTGAAACCAGATCTGAGCACACGCCATCATTTTCACACGGATTGGATTTGCAGTCGTCAATGTTTTCTTGGCACTGCAAACCTGTAAATCCATCGGGGCAGACACAAACGAAGCCATTAATCTGCGGAATAACAATGATGACAATTCAGATGAAATCAGTCTTGGACAGCGAAAACATGGGGGACCTGATGGGATTCGAACTTACGCACGCCTGGATACAGGTCACGCACTCTAACGGTTGAGCTTGGGAGATAGGAATACAAATTAGGACGATAATTCGCTTATTTCAGAACAGGTTTAATCACTCTGTATGTGTTTTAAAGAAACCGTTTGAACTGCGTTAAACATAATACCTTAAAGCTAAATGAAACTATTAAAAAAAGAATTATATGGTATTGGTCGGCTGGGAGGGCCGTATAGTGAAAAACTGTGACCGAGGTCTTAAAAATGCTGCCCGAGGCCGCAGCTGAGGGCAACATTTTCGAGCCCGAACTTTAAAATTCCAGCCAAAATCGTTTTTCTGGTTTGAAATTTCTTGCAAAGTTTGAAATTGTACTTCAAAACACTTTCCTCAGTCGTTGCGAATCACTCGAAATCAGACTTTTCTACCGTCACGGTAAATTGAGTAGCAGAGAGCGAGTAAATTCGTTAAGTGTATTCCACAGAAATTCTCTCAAATACAGCAACGATCAAGGAAGTAAAGTTTATCTCCATGTAACGGCCGGTCAACGGACAATGTCCGGCCAGAATGGTGACTTGACCGGCCAAAAACTTCACTCACCAGTCATGTTGAGACGGTCACGTTGTTCATTCTTGAATGAAAAATCAAATCCCCAACTGTAAATCTTAGATTGTTAGTCTCTTTTTTTATTTTGGCCTCTCACACGAAAACATACATCAATGGGTATCTGTTCAACGGCTAAAAATCGATCGCTTACTGTTTGTTATGCGTTCTAGATCGATAGGAATGCCATTCGAACGGCTGGTGTTATCCGTTCAGAAAAATATTCAGCCGTTCGAACAACTACCGCAATCCATTCGAAAAACATTTTCACCTTTTAGGACGGTAGAGGTTTTCAATTCAGAATTCAAAACTATTTAGCCTTTCGAACAGCAAAAATTTTCCGTAGACAAAGAATCCGATCAGATTCAGCTTTTCGATTTTCGATTTGCCTAACTGTGACACTTTTGTCACAGGGAACCTCTCTTTGTTGGCGTATACACATGCATTTCAAAGGTATCGCTCTACAGATGTCAAGATATTTGTCGTTTCTTTCACTTTCTCTGCACAAAAATCGACGAACAAGACGCCAAAACAAGACTTTTCGCTTGATTGTCAAGTTGTTTCCAGCTTAGACACTATGGGACTCCGGGACATCAAAACACTTATTTGCAGTCTGCTTCGTTTCCATCAAGCCGTACAATGTAACATTGAGCACGAAACCAGTATCTAACTTAGAACCAACCGATTGAAGTCACTGTTACAAAACCGACGAAGTTATGTGCCAACAAAAAAGCCGAAGGCCTTTATATTAGTATCTGTAAAGTTATTTTTGTTCGCGAATGAAATTTGAGACACTCTCAACTCGTTGCTTGGTAAAATCTACCGAATGATAGTCATTAGTTTTTCGTGAACAAAACCTCTCTCTAATATGACTACAACAGAGTTTAGATTTTTATGGTTTACACTTTAGAACTTAATTTTAGTCACATCATTAAGAAACCTCCCAACACTTGTTGTGCAACTGTAGCCGTATTCGTAGTAACGCGATGATTTGTTGTGGGTTTGCACGGATGAGAATCAAGGAAACAGGAATTTCTTCTTCGGCTATATTTCTTTACTCAGTTATTTCTGAAGCCCAAAATTAGAATCTGCTGATGCATGTTTGGTTTCACTTAGGTTTTGACGGACATAAATACTTTGTGGAACATCAAAACAGCAGCTCATGGAATTCAATATACCGATCGAAAAATTCGAAGTTTCATCTTATGTGCATCCGTTCAATAATTTTTCTTTGGCAGGTGGCAAGAATTCCACAGAGAGCGTGCCACTTCGTTGAGCTGCTGAGCCCTGCCAAGCTATCTTTGGTTAGTTTTAAGCTTTTACTTGTAGTAGGCCAATCTTTAAACGATCCAGCAACGACTGGAAGAAACAAATTATATCTGTGGGTTTAATTAGGTCAACATTATTTAATTTTTTTGTTAATATCTTGACCGGTCAGAAACGAGACGTGACCAAGCTAAAATTACTTTGGCCGGTCAACATGACCGGCCACGGTCCGAAAAATATTTTGAGCCCTGTAAACTGAACTGAAATTGATTCATTTTTTACTTAAAATTGTATAGAGAGATATTCACAGCAAGATTACGCGCCATTACAGCGCCGAACTACAAACAGCCAAACAAACTCGCACAACTTCAAAAAATTCAATTGAATTTAGTTACGGTGACTTTCCTTGCAATTTAAAGGCGAATAGAGATAAACTGGCGTTGATTAATCGTCTATGGAAGTGTAAAATGGGCGAAAGATTGACGATTACCGCTAATTCGCTCACGAAAATAGAACAATAGGACGGATTCCGCCCGCTGTGGTGGTCCAAATGAGATTTATTCCGCCCGCTACAGGAACCAATCAGATTGCAGGATTTATTGAATTCCACCCGCTCACGAGCTGAGAAAAAGATAAGAGTACGGTATCACACCTTCCTTTTTACAAAGTTAAAATATATTTTTTTGTCAGACGAGGACCAAAGCTGAAAGGTGTCGTGACGTGCAAATGAGAGCTGCATGCTGCTCAACACTGGTTAATTACCTGATCATGGCATGTCCCACCATAGAAACAAGGGAAAGACGCGCACTCATCAATTTCCACTGCACAATCATCGCCCAGAAATCCTGGCGCACAGTCGCAAGTGTAGCTGTTTATTCCGTCCCTACACGTGGATCCATTACCACAAGAATTTACCACACAGTCATCGATGTCAACTTCACAGTGTGGTCCGCTAAATCCATCAACACAGGAACAAGTGTAGCTGTCCACTTTGTCGATACAAGTAGCATTATTGTAGCATGGAGAGCTGGAACACTCATCGATGTCAGTGCTACAGTTTTTTCCTGTATAACCCTTCTTGCAGGTACAACGATAGTCATTTATCAGATCATCACAAGTTCCATCGTTTATACATGGATTCTGCCCACAGTCGTCTATGTTTATTTCGCAGCTGATACCTGCAAACCCGTCAACACAAGTGCACTTATACTCATCTATGCCGTCAATGCAAGTGCCATTGTTTAAGCAAGTGATATTTTTACAGTCGTCAATATTGATCTGACACTGATTTCCTTTAAAACCATCTGGACACTGGCAAGTGAAGGAAGTAATGCCATCAGAGCATGTTCCATTGTTCAAGCAAGGCATCGAGGCGCAGTAGTCGATGTCCACATCGCAGAGTTTACCAGTGACACCCTGCGGGCACACGCAGGTAAAGTTGTTCACCCCGTCGTGACACGACCCATTGTTTGAGCAAGGACTCGATGCACAGTCATCTATGTTGTTTTCACAGTGCAGTCCATCAAAGCCATCGCGACAGTCACAGCGATAGCCATTAACCATATCCACGCAGCTGGCTTGATTTTGACATGGGTTGGAAATACATTCATCGATGTTGAACTCGCAGGCTGACCCGGAGAATCCAGACTCGCAGATACAATAAAACCCATTAACTTGATCCAAACATGTACCGTTGTTTTCGCAATCTGCGCCAGCGCATTCGTCAATATTGTGCTCACAATGGGATCCGTTAAAACCTGCAAGACAAATGCATTGGTAACTGTCAATTTTATCACGGCAGTTGGCCCCGTTCTGACAGGGGTCACTCGCGCAGTCATCGATATTTTCTTCGCAGTCGTTGCCTTGGAATCCCACTGGACAGAGACACTCGTAGTTGTTTATTTTGTCCCTGCAAGTAGCTCCATTTTGACACGGAGATAACAGACATTCATCAATTTCCGTATCACACAGACTTCCCGTGTAACCAGGTTCACACTGGCACTGGTAACCACCAGGGAGATTTTCGCACGAGGCATTGTTAGCACACGGCCATGAAACACACTCATCTATATCCTCCTCGCAGTTGAAGCCTCGGAAACCTTGTGCACAGGAGCAGGTGTAGTTGTTGAGCAGGTCTTGACATGTGCCACTGTTAAAGCATGGCTGATCTGTACAATCATCAATATCAGAATCACACTGTTTCCCAGTGTAACCAGATTGACAGGAGCACAGGAAATCGCCGATGAGGTCGGTGCACGTGGAGTTGTTGATGCAAGGGTTGGAATCGCACTCGTCAATTTCTGGAGCAAATGAAAGTCCAGGAAAAAAAATAGTGTCAGTTTCCAGTTTTGCTTAAGTGGGGCAAACAAATAAAAATAAAACAAACGAACAAAAAAATAGCAAAAAAAGAAAAAAAAAAAAANATGAGTGAAGGGCGCTTAGGGACACTTGATTAACACCAGGTTGACAACTGATCACGCTTCAAAAGCATTAGTTTTGATTTGATTCTGGATCTTTTAGGACGGGTTTGTCTTTTCTGTTCCTATTATGAGGTCTCAGTGCAATTAAATTAGTTTTATGCCGTAAAGTTCCTCAACGAATTTCATATCATGCATACAAAGGGTACATGTAGCTGGCAATTTCTCAGTAAGACCACTAACCTATGCAATCTTCTGGGTTCTTTGATCCGGGTTTTAGTGTTATAGTTGTTCCCGGGCATGAATAACACACAGTACTCTCATTACGTGGCTGAAAAGAGCGTCGATCGCACAAAGAACATGGAGCCAGTCCGGTTGAAGAAAAAGATCCAGCCGCGCACGGTGCTGTGAAAAATAATTAATCAAAACAACATGTAAGATGTAAGCCATACGAGTGAAGATTTTCAAATAAATTGGAAACAAAATTATGCAAAACCGTAATTTAAATTTATGAATAGTCTCATCGCTCTCGACAGTTACACTATATCTATGAAAACTAGATGCACTGCTAGCAAAATGCTTTGGTTTAAAGGAGGTGGCTGTAGGCTGTCCTCAACTTGGGTTTCTTTTGCATGAAGTTACTAGGTATGTTTCCGGCTCGTCACAGGCATTTTTTCTCAGCTTGCCCTAACAACTTGATAGTAGCCAACAGGCTTTAAGATTCCCTGTTAAAGGACGACACTGTGTCCATGTCGTGCAAATGAAAACAAGGTAATGTTGCATGCTACAAAAAAGAACTAGAACGTCCTTATCTAAAGTTCACTTAGCTAGACATCAGAGTTCTGCGCCTCTTTGGGAGTAATACCTGATGCATCACACACGTGGAATGTCTTTTAAATACATACCTCCACATTGCATAGAGCTGTTGGATCCCTTGGCGGAAGTTGTCTTGTTCCGACTGCATTCTAAGCATGAGCTTTGGCCCTCCATGGTTTGATAATGACCCTTTTCGCAAAGAAAACAAGGCTCCATTCCGGTGGGTGAGTAAGAGCCACGTTTGCAGAGAGCTTCCATGAAAACAAACAGTCAAAAGGGCTACCATTAATGTTTAATTGTAGAGGTTGTGCCCATCATTCCACCACGATATAAATTAAATCGTATCTCAAGGGCTTAAGAGTAACGTGATTACAGAAGCTCCCATTTCTCGAGAAAGTTTTTGGACACCCTACCTACAGTCCCCTCCTCCCCCCCCCCCTCCCACCCCAACCCCCCTCGTCCCGGACCCTACAAAAAAATTTTAAAAAAAAGCTAGCCTTTCTCTTTTTCCTTTAGGGGTGCCTCTATTTAAAAGGAAAACCGTTCACTTTTATCTCGCCCTCTTCCTCTTTCAAACATGGGGCTTGTACATTCGGTGGAAAAAAAAAATGATAACAAGGAGAGGGCACACAAGTTACGATTTTCAAAATTAGAAGAATGTTATCTAAACGAAATGTGTCTCAGTTTTTGGGCAATTTGTTTTATGTTTGCTTTGCTATAGCTATGTAGCCAAGGTTTATAGGTTGTTCATCCGTTTTAGAATACTAAATAAGTAGTTACAGTAAATCCAAGACAGAATTCTGCTAGTGTCAATGGCTCAAAGAGAAACTTATGTCTCGTCAGTCTTATTAAAGGGGTCTGTTACCTAAGCAGTTGGAGCTATTCTCTGTTCTGGATTCAGTTGTTGAAGTACCCGGTGGACACATCAAACACTCCTCCTGTGCACTGAGCTCTTGGTATGATCCGATAGGACAGTCCTCGCACTTTCCGGTAGCACTGTTTAAGTAAGTCCCCAGTGTGCAGTTTACTGTAGATCACAGAGACAAAGATGCAGTTAAGTTTCTATGAACGTAAAACATGCAAATTCAACTCACCTCAGCGGTAAACTAATAAGGTCTTTGCAGTTATAACTGAGAGAATTTGAGGGAAAATGGCTCTGGCTCTGCTTTATGCGTAATTAACTAGCAGGAAACGTTTCAGGTACTTCATGAGAAATGGCTAAAGGCTAAACCTTAAATCTAAAAAACTAAAACCTAAAACTTTATCCTGCAGCCCACTTTCAAATGAGGCATTTGTTCATAGGATTTTTTTTTATTCCCGAGTCTTTTGGCTCGAAACTGCGATTAAATTAATAATGAATGTTAATTTTAGGAAATATGCTCACGGCAATATCCTTCTTTAAATGTTTGTCCCTTTGTACAAAATTCTTTAGGCTCTGAGATGTTGAATGAATCTTTATCAGCTTCGAACTTAGTGCCATTGATGGTCAGACTGAGATTGCCGTTGTCAACTGCAGCTTTTATCCGGCTACTGATGTCTTTTGCAATTTTCATGCCTTCCTCGCCAATCGTTATCTCGCCTTCTTTGGTGTCATTTGCTTCAATACCATCAAGGTCCACTACAAGAGTTGAACAAAAAGACAGAAAAAAAAATATTATTATTTCACGGAGACTCGATAATAATAGGTTAAGTTGTCGCATTGATCATTTGGAGTCTTGACTTCGTATCCCGTTTCCCATGTCGTTGCTTTATGGTTAATATGGGGAGAAAGGATTTTAGCGTGACTATTAGGCAAGAAATGTCCTCTTTTTCTCACAGTTCTTTGCTCTGCTCAAGCGTGTAATTTAGGTAAGGGTGGTTAAGGACAACCGGATGCTTTATGACAACCAAGCAGACTAGCATACAGATAGTTGTATTCAATTCATGCTACGGAAATCGGAGTTATGGGTTGCTGCTTTGAAGTTGTCAATTTTCTGTGGCTTTATTTTTTTTTATAACACTATGACTAGTAAAAAAAATATATTTGACTTTTTAGCATTAAACTGCTGCAAAGTGAGGGAAAAGTCGGTGAAACACTTTAGCAGGGTGCCTCAAAAAGTGGACTTTGTTACTATGGTTTTGGGGCAATTTTTTTTTTTTTTCACCTGTTATACTGCCAGTTGTGGAGTTAAACTCTTGACTATAGGCTACACAAACAGCCCCTTAGGTATTTTTAGATTTTACATTGTTCCAAAGTGCTAACAATTAAGATAATATTATTAACCTACCAATTACATCTAGAGTAATTGTGGTTCGTGGAATTGATCGTCGAGTTCGGCTGTGATGACCGACGTCGCCTGGAAAATAAATAAATAAAAAAATAAATAAATAGATAAACAAAATAAGCGTAAACAGAATGAAAATTCGGGCTTATGTTGTAATGTTAATTAATCTGACGATAGACCCTGGATAACACTCTTAGTTTTTCTGTACAATTGCCAGTGTAAGTATACGAGAATGTAAGATCATGAGTGGTCTGACAAAGTGGTTGTCTGCCAGTCCGTCAGTCCGTCAGTCGGGCGGTTACTCCGTCCGTCGGTCTGTGAGTCTCTCAGTCACTCAGTTCTCTTGGGAGCAAGTGGACGTACGGACAGATTTTTCACCCAGCTGTTGTTCCACATCCCAATTTCAGTTAGCTTTTGGCGTTTTTGATGCGTGCACGGTTAATTTCTTCGCATCCGTGGTTTTTCCAGTCAGAAGTATATTTCCTTTCCATACTAGTGCAATAAAAGAAGTTGGTCTTGAAGTGAGCAGCGCCCAAGTTAGGATTGTTGTTGTTGTTGTTGTTTTGGGAGAGGGTGTAACTATGATTTAGAGGAGAGCACTTGCGATGAAAGCTACACATAGCATCATCAACCTACCAACGATATCCAGAAAATAAGTGGCTCTTGGAATTGATCGTTGAGTTTGGGTGTGGCGACTGACATCGTCTGGAAAATAAATGGCGTGAACATGGAGATTACAATTTTGGGGAATTGAAATTAGACGACTTATGTGCTATTGGTAGTTATACTGAAGGTGGACCCTGGATTGCATTTTTAGTTAACAACTGTGGGTTGTGCAACTTTGAGTGTAAGTGTACAAGGCTGTAAGACTAGAAGCGTCCAAACAAAGTAGCTGTACGTCTGTCCGTCTTTTCGTCTATCCATCTGTCCGTCTGTCTGTCCCTCTGTTCGTCAGTCTGTCTGTCTGTCTGTCTGTTCGACTGTCCATCTGTTCAGCTGTCCATCTATATGTTTATCCACCTGTCTGTCTGTCCGTCTGTCCGTCTGTCCGTCTGTCCGTCTGTCCGTCTGTCCGTCTGTCCGTCTGCCCGTCTGCCCGTAAACAATTTTGTAAATAAACCATTTTTCGAAAGGCAATTAAAGTATTCAACACTTCCAAATTTACAAAGTGCAACCTTAAGATCTAATTGAAAATATCCTGTGAGAAAGCTTGCGCTCAAAGCTGCACTTCTCTCACTCGGTAGAACATGGAAACACTTGCCTAAGGCTCGTGTTCCTACAGCATTTCCACTATTCCACCCGATGATTTTTTCTTTTTTTCTGGGCCGGGTTGTTCAAAGCCTGATTAAGCTAACTCAGGATTAGCGAGAATTTTGATTTCATTTTTGTACATTTTCGGTGAGGTTTTCTGTTTATATTGTTTGTCCTTCAGTATTGAGCTTGAGTAATTTCAAACTACACACACACAAAAAAAATAAGCAGTGAAAAACATTTCTGAAGAAGAAAAATTGTTACTTCGGTTAACTTTTAATCCTGGATTAGCGTTAACCGGCTTTCGAACAACCCGGCCCTGGTTTCTTAAATATGAGTTTTGTCAAATGCTGTCATACCTGCTGAACGTTTTCTCCTGTTAATAACAAAATCTACCGCAGAGCATGTGACTTTCACATTTTCTGCCTTGCACTTGTCTTTAAGTGCTGGATCCTGACAGACCTCTTTGAAGAAAGACTCGTTTAACAGTTGGATGAAGTTCTGCTTTATTTGCGCCTGGGCTTCTGGTGTGGCACAGTCACCATAGTAGTAGTGCAAATCAATTGCCATCCTGACATCGTTGGGGTGGTATACTTCTACAAAAGGGTTGATGGACAAAACGAATTGGTTCTTCCTTACATTTTAAGAGGTTTACTTAAACTGATGGCAGGGTATAGGTAAAATTTGTGATTGTCAGTTGAACATATCACGTTTTATTTGAACTGATAGCAGCTGAGATCTGAAATCAACAAAATTTGCATGATAAAATATTGACAGCAGTTAGTTTTTTCACTTTATGCACTTTTGTAGACCATGGTAAAGGATTCATAGCATAAGCGTGTAAACTCAAGTAGAACCACGAACTTCGGGCCCGTGGAAACCCTCCACGTTGAGATTTAATTTTGCTTTAATAGAAGACATCACTAATTTGATCCCTCATCTTGGATAACACTACATTGTTATGTCATTAGCAAATAACAATAATCAATACATGATTCCAAAACGGTAAAAAAATTAAAAAAATTAAAAAAAATAACGATGAAAGAATGTACCAACAACGTAAAGTTAGCGACAAAAAGAATATCAAAATAGCAACTAGCAAAGGAGGAAAACAATTATATCAGAAAATTTTGGGTACACTTGCATGTCAAAGCAATTATCACAGTTGACAGTTTGTTGTCACATTAAAATGCCCCCTAGTTAAAGATAAGCGATCGCGAAAAGAAGTCGAGGAATGGTAGTGCAAAAGGAAAAATGCAAACAATTATTTACTCACTTGTGCAGTCTGGAAAACGATTGGTTGGGTTCCAAGTTCCTGATGCTCCACAAACCCACATAGGCGAAAGCAAAGGCTGAGCAAAGTCTGACTTGTTGTTACAAAAAGGGGAACAGAACGATCCAAACATCCAATCGTCACAAGCCTTTGCGCCTTCTTTAGGAGGAGGCAGGTCACTGCACTCTGTCGCTGTACGAGTAACGAAAATTACGAATTTAACATTCGTTTTGACGAGTTGCTCTCAAGAGTACTTTTCGACATTAATTGTTAGTTTTGTTATAAAAAGAGAGAGAACCGTTGATAATCCTTTCGTTCATCACAATGTCGCCATCAGGAAAATGTATTGTGTATAGTACAGATACAGGCAATTAGGGTGTAAATTGATAGAATTCCGACGAGGACACCGTAATTTATCAAGTATTAGTGCATAAAGGGAGTAAAACGGTACGCCACAAACAGGAAGTCGAGCTTAACTTTAAAAGCAAAGATTTTGGCTAGTTTAAGCTACTGAGCGGTACTTGCACGTGGCACGGAACGTTTAGACAAGTTTCAGATGTTTTCTTTTTCTAATTAATTTGTGAAAGTTAGGTCTTTAAAGCTCTTATGTTAGTCTACTTGTTACTTACGCTTAACCGTGATTGTAAACTGGCAAACAGCTGGGTCGTTATCTGGATTATCATCGTAGGCTGTACAATGTACATTCCATGTCCCCCAGTAAAACTCAGTCCCGCTTTGATGACTGCATGTGATTACCAATGGACTATCGCTGTTGTCTTTAAACTGAGGTTCGTTCCACGTCACTATTGTTGTCATCTGCGTAGCAGTAATTTCCTGGTCTGGGGGACAATATACAACCTGGGGGCCTTCATTATCTGCGATGAAAATACATAAGGAGTCGTGTGAAGAAAAGACTCTATCTTCATAGCAAATGCTATTACATGGACATAGCTCTACCAGCCATTTTCGCGATAATTCTGACACCACACAGTGACAGTGGAGAAGGAGGAGAGAGTCATCGGTCTTCACTCCTAGGCCCAGGTGAGATTACTGGCAGGGGACCGAGTGCAGGACTACAATTTTCCATCCTTTAACTCAGACGGAGAGTAAGGCATAATGTCACCACGACAAGCAACAGTTCGAAAATCAATTTGGCATAATTTAACTTGGCACCATCCATTTTGGACTCACCTTCCAACACCACTTTAAACGAGCACTCTTCCTCTTTCCCACTTGAATCTCTTGCAGTGTAGACAACAAGAGTAGTTTTGTTAAAGTTGTGTGGTGGGCTGATTCCTGCTGGAAAAACGGTTACTTGTGGTGCCAGATCGCTGTTGTCCAGAGCGACAGGCTCGGTCCAATTAACCAATGCTGTAGAATTTATATTGATGCTTGCGCGAATATCTGAAGGACAACTGATGAACACTGGTGGGGTAAGATCTATGAGAATACAAAAGCAGTCAATACAAAAGCAATCAATACAAAAGCAATCAATACAAAAGCACATTATGATATATGAGATCGGAAAAGACGCGCCCTCTTCCTTGACAGATCATCGTAGCCCGGCAGTTTAAATAATATAGAAATAGTTTGATTTAAATGTCACTTTACCGATGGAAAGTATCGCTAAATATTTGTTATAATAAACAAATGCTTTAGACGTCCCACACATCCATAACAAATGTCAACATCTGGCCACGTAGTCATCGTACTAACTTTTCACCGAAGCTTATGGTAGAGGACACAATGGACGGAAATAACATGTTTTTACAACCAAGCGAAAAAGAATGACCAGTCCCCACTTATATGCAGTTACAAACGATACGCAAGATTGAAAGTGATACTGTCTAATTTATTACCTCAGGTGATATACACTGTAACACATATTCGGAACAATATATATGATAATTTACAAAGCGGTTACCAAGGCATTGCAAAATTGAAGATTCATTTTTGTTCCAGTTTCCATCATTCCCACAAAGAATCTCGGTAGTTCCACCGTTCCCAAGGAAACCACGTCTGCATTCAAAATAGCAGACAGTTCTGCTGACTGGGGAAAACGTACACATGTGTGGGTAAATGAAACCATACTGAGGCGCACTTAGAGAAGGACAGGAACGTACTGAAAGAAAATTAGTAAATAAGAATTAAATAAACAATTGTGTCTATGTCTTGTGTTATGCCTACAACCGCACTGATGTTAATGATGTTTCTCGAATGACAACAGTTTATGCGGAAACTCTGAAATGCTGAATCCAATGGACTCATTAGCCTTTTTATTTCATTTCCAAGTTAAAACCGTTAATACTTTCTATTGCCATTCGATGGTAAATCTGGACAATATCACTTAGTTGATGNATTTCATTTTTGTACATTTTCGGTGAGGTTTTCTGTTTATATTGTTTGTCCTTCAGTATTGAGCTTGAGTAATTTCAAACTACACACACACAAAAAAAATAAGCAGTGAAAAACATTTCTGAAGAAGAAAAATTGTTACTTCGGTTAACTTTTAATCCTGGATTAGCGTTAACCGGCTTTCGAACAACCCGGCCCTGGTTTCTTAAATATGAGTTTTGTCAAATGCTGTCATACCTGCTGAACGTTTTCTCCTGTTAATAACAAAATCTACCGCAGAGCATGTGACTTTCACATTTTCTGCCTTGCACTTGTCTTTAAGTGCTGGATCCTGACAGACCTCTTTGAAGAAAGACTCGTTTAACAGTTGGATGAAGTTCTGCTTTATTTGCGCCTGGGCTTCTGGTGTGGCACAGTCACCATAGTAGTAGTGCAAATCAATTGCCATCCTGACATCGTTGGGGTGGTATACTTCTACAAAAGGGTTGATGGACAAAACGAGTTGGTTCTTCCTTACATTTTAAGAGGTTTACTTAAACTGATGGCAGGGTATAGGTCAAATTTGTGATTGTCAGTTGAACATATCGCGTTTTATTCGAACTGATAGCAGGTGAGATTTGAAATCAACAAAATTTGCATGATAAAATATTGACAGCAGTTAGTTTTTTTCACTTTATGCACTTTTGTAGACCATGGTAAAGGATTCATAGCATCAGTATGTAAACTCAAGTAGAACCATGAACTTCGGGCCCATGGAAACCCTCCACGTTGAGATTTAATTTCGCTTTAATAGAAGACATCACTAATTTGATCCCTCATCTTGGATAACGCTACACTGTTATGTCATTAGCAAATAATAATAATCAATACAAGATTCCAAAACGGTGAAAAAAAAAAACAACAACAACAACAACAACCATGAAGGAATGTACCAACAATGTAAAGTTAGCGACAAAAAGAATATCAAAATAGCAACTAGTAAAGGAGGAAAACAATTATATCAGAAAATTTTGGGTACTCTTGCATGTCAAAACAGTTAGCACAGTTGACAGTTTGTTGTCACATTAAAATGCCCCTTAATTAGAGATAAGCGATCGCGAAAAGAAGTCGAGGAATGGTAGTGCAAAAGGAAAAATGCAAACAATTATTAACTCACTTGTACAGTCTGGAAAACGATTGGTTGGCTTCCAAGTTCCTGATGCTCCACAAACCCACATAGGCGAAAGCAAAGGCTGAGCAAAGTCTGACTTGTTGTTACAAAAAGGGGAACAGAACGTTCCAAACATCCAATCGTCACAAGCCTTTGCGCCTTCTTTAGGAGGAGGCAGGTCACTGCACTCTGTCGCTGTACGAGTAACGAAAATTACGAATTTAACATTCGTTTTGACGAGTTGCTCTCAAGAGTACTTTTCGACATTAATTGTTAGTTTTGTTACAAAAAGAGAGAGAACCGTTGATAATCGTTTCGTTCATCACAATGTCGCCATCAGGAAAATGTATTGTGCATAGCACTGATACAGGCAATTAGGGTGTAAATTGATAGAATTCCGACGAGGACACCGTAATTTATCAAGTATTAGTGCATAAAGGGAGTAAAACGGTACGCCACAAACAGGAAGTCGAGCTTAACTTTAAAAGCAAAGATTTTGGCTAGTTTAAGCTACTGAGCGGTACTTGCA